AGACCATTCTAACTGCCAATTAACGTAAAATACAAAACGTAAATTACATTTTGTTTGTCTGAAGTGATCTTCTGGGTTCTACGGTTGTGTTTCTGCGTTGATGCTGTATTAAACTATAGAACGAAATGTTGTTTCAAAGAAACCAATGGTCTCATAAGGCTTTGCAGCAACGTTACAATATCATCACCTTCACGTATGATTACGTCATTAAAAAATCGGTCTTTAAAAACGAACATTACTGGTCTGTGTTCAACTAACCTGTATCTTTCGTAGACATAATATGCTTGCTATCTAAACTATATCATTTCATCCACTAAATAACACATTTTTTTATATTGTAATAGTTTCTAGTTGTTAGTTTAGCAATTGATTACATTGCAATTGTGTATGTTTTCACATGCGTATTTGATGGGGGTTTTCATAAACAGTTCCTGATTGCTTTCAAAACTTATGTACATTTGACTCGTGGTAGCGGTGGCCATCTTAAAGAGGCAGCTTCTATTGACCGGTCCTTCACTAAACGACACCAGAAAAACCGTACCCCCTCCCCATGTATGTCAATCCATGCTAAGCATTTGTTTAATAACTGGTTAGCTTTCTTGCTTTTCCTATACTTTCCTTATTATTATTACTGTATTTAAAGTTTAAAAGGTCTTTTTGATTTCACAAATCGCATCCTGCATACTCGCCGACTGCAGTTGTGCAGTTTCGCTGTAGAATGACTGTTCAGTTTTGCTGAAAGTAGATACTGTTGGAAGGCGACTCAGGTTCAGTGTTATACAGTTTAGTTACGTGGTAACACTTTTCGTACAATGTATACTATTTTTTTGAGTGAGTGAGTTTGGTTATTATTCCAGCAATATCAGCAGGGGACGAGCCATTACAGTGTAGAACCGACCGATACACAAAGCCAGCTGACGGCCAGGCAACAAGACGGTTAAAACGGTAGCCTGGGAAACGAGACACAAGAACCACACCTGCACCACGTGAAATGGTATCTTCCCATAAGACAGACCTCCCAAAAGACAGACCGCTTAAAACAACACATGTTATGGTTGGTTGCATAAGGCTTAATTAAGCTGTACCCTTGATAATAATGGTATGTGACAAGGTAAAAAAGACAACATTAGTGTTGTCACAAGCCCTAGTGTACAGTACATATCCCTGTGCACTTAAAAGAACCCACGAATAAGCTGGTATATGACCAGATGGTGGCCACACGAATACGTGCAAAATATAGTTTAATGTCGTCATTCGTTTATAAGTTGGGTACCAATTGACGTTATTTGCAAGGCACATAAGCTATGGTGTTTTTATTGTGGTCATAGAACTCTCGTTAAATGTGCAAAATATGAATCGATATAATGCAAAAAGTAATTAGTTTCTAATGATAGCTGTACTGTTTTAACTATGAGAATGTGAAGCCCATTTCTGGTGTCCCCCGCCGTAATATTGCTAGAATAATGCTAAAAGCGTCCTAAAGCTAAGTCAATCAATCAATCGATCAATCAATCAAATTGGCTATGAGGCTGCTTGACAAACACTTTTAATGCTGAAAAAGTGCAAGACAAAAAGGTTAATTATCGTGTAAAGTTGCCCTTTAAGGCCATTGTAGGTTTAAGGGCACAACATGCGTGTGTGCAATATTCTTCCATTCGACCAACTTCTATCAATGAATTATCTGTCTCCGCAGCCTAAAGGCAAACAGGTCACTTACCGATGTTTTCTCTTCTGCGTCTATCTCTTCCATAGAATCAGTTTTAGGAATTATTTCATCTTCACCCGACTGGCCAGACGTGGCAGCATAGACTTCATTTACAGAATAATGAGTTGAGGTAGCAGAATGCTGTCCATCAGATTTAACAATTGGGTTGGTTTCTTCATCGGATGTACGATGACTTGGATCAGGGATGTAGCCATGCTTGGGTTCACGGTGGTTAGAACCAGTGATGAAGCCTTCCTTGAATTTATCACGTCTAGTACCAGGGCTTTTTACAGAATCGAGACTCAAGAGCTCAACACCAGACTCAACATGTGAAGATTGTAGGTTGATATCCACTGACATGTCAAATTTCAAAATGTGTCGAAAACACAGAAGGTATGACCACACGGTATTGCCTGAAACACTAAATGACGCGAGCGGTGTATAAACCTAAACGATTTTGTCCCCCCCCAAAAAAAAATAATTCCGTATGAAAAGGAAGTATTGTTATTTTGTGAATTGCATATGAGAGCAATGCCGGTTTCATAATATTAAATGTCGGACTTTGAGAAGTATTACTCATGAAAATTTTCACATCTCCGACGTTGTGACTGGGCTGACTGGGACATACTCTACTGCTGACATGCAGCTGTCATAAGCCAGGCATACCTTTGGTGGCTAGGTGCTTTCGTGACTCATTTTCGGTGATGCATTCAAAACCCATTGGCCATTTGTCACACTGTCGCCATGTCACATTGTAGCGCTTTGAATAATATTTTCTTACTCAATCAAAGGGCTACAGAGCGACAGAGGATTGAATGGCTCACCGAAAACGAGTGACTCGAAAGCACCAACAGTATGTCTAGCATATAACAGCTGTATGTCAAGGGCAAAATGTATCGCCCCATTTAAGATGTGTAATATACGCGACAATGCGACATAATGAATATGTCGCATTGTCGCGTTGTCGCCCTTTTTGATTAATGATACGCTTTTGTAGTAAGTGATTAGTCTAATCATGTGTAGAAATAGATATGCCTTTTTCAGACTCCAGTGGTCTGTTGTCATCTCCATGATAATAAAAACGAAGTTGTAATGACAATGTGGGTTGCTTTTATTTAACTTGCTACTTTATACAAATCTTTCATCGTTATTGGGAAATCATTTTATAGTATGTTAATGTCGGTGTCGTATTTAGCCAGCCAAACGTGTTTTTGCAGAAAGACAAATTCTTTGCGTTTCTATTCAGGGTATTGTATGTGCGTCGGTGCGAGACGGACTGAACTCTCTCAGAGGCCAAAACTGTCGAGCATGGTCAACCATCCAAGGTTTGGTTTCTTGTTTTACGGTGCACTCAGCAATACTCCAGCTATATGGCGGCAGTCTGTAAATAATCGAGACTGGACCAGACAATCCAGTGATCAACAGCATCAGCATCGATCTATTCAGGATGATCGTTGTCTTTGAAATGCAGTGTAGTCATATTGTTTTCTTAAGATCACGTGGATCAAGTGAAAACGTGAGGAAATTTTAAACTGAAAAACCTTTATATCCCAATAATTCCCACGAAAAACATATATTTCTTCTTGCAAGTACATGACTGTGTACCAGTGTATAGCAAATATGTAAGCTCCAAATACACTACCATTCATAATCAGAGCCGTAATCATCAACACCATCATCATACCATCAGCATCACTATCATTATCATAGATTTATCATCATTATCACCATAGCCGTTATCATCACCACCATCACAGCCGTAATCATCATCATCATCATACCACCCGCATCACTATCATCATCAACATCATCATCATATCCGTTATCAACACTATCATCAGAGCTGTAAAGATCAATATCATCATACCTTTAGCATCACTATCATGATTTATCACCATCATCATCATAGCCGTTCATCACCATCATCATAACTGTAATCGTCATACCTTTAGCAGTGTATGAAATAAGGCCCGCCCCACCGCCCGAGACGGGCTAGATTTGTCTAATTTTATAGCTAGCCAGCCCGATGGACAGGTGAAAAAAAATATTCAGATAGAGTGTCCACTCACACTGTCTATTTAGTATTTAAGAAGGACTGGTTGAATCTCTCCTGGGCTGGAAGTTACTAGCCCAAATGTCTGGCTGGGTTTTTGGCTTATATCATACACTGCCTTTAGCATGACTATAATCTTCATAGATTTATCATCAACATCATCATACCTTATCATAGCAGTTATCCAATAGTAACTTCTCTTGTAACTGGGTACAATGTGTGAAGCCCATTTCTGGTGTCCCCCGCCGTGATATTGCTGGAATATTGCTAAAAGCGGCGTAAAACCACACTCACTCACTCAATCTCTTGTAACTGTCTTCATTAAGCATTCAGCAATTTATCCTAGGTGTCCGACATAGACATTCAAGCAGGCTATTATTTACTCTTAAAAAGTAGGGGATAGAAAGTAGCGTTAACAAACTTTCCAAAGACAGACATCTTATGAACGCACCACCATTTCGCTTTATCACCCCACTAAACACAACTCTTGTGGTGCACGTGAACAACGCAGTAGCCTCATACACGTACATGGGATGTCATTTTTTATTTTGACGGTTTTCAAGATGGTCGATAAATGACTGTACACCATTATGTTTTACAACCATCTTGCATCACACAGTTGTTAGTGTTTGTTTCTAGCCGGGTTGGTTTTTTTGAAAATAAAAAAAGTGCACATGCAAATTTCACGTCATACACCAATCATCTTTCAAAAGCGATTACTGTACAAACAACTACAACTATGGCTATAAGGAAGTGCAAGTGGTGATGCACTCTCGCAACATTCATTACTATCATATAAGACCGCCTCCGTGGTGTAGTAGTTAAAGCGTCCGCCCGGATTGCGGAAGGTCGCGGGTTAGATCCCCGACCGCGTCATACTAAAAGACGTTAAAATATGGTACTTGTTGGTCCCTGCCTGGCGCTCGAAATTAATGGGGACTGGTCGGCTCGGAGTCAGTATAATGTGTCTGAGTGGGGTATTCATGCTCCACTTCACTCAGTGGGCTAGCACTATAAAACCAGCTTCAGTCTGGTCTAGTACAAGCAGATGCACATACACATACACACGCATGCACGTCGTCATATGAGCGAAATATTCTCAAGCACGACGTTAAACCCAATTCCAGCACCACCACTATCATATCAACATTGATTGACTCCGATATATCTCCCATTTTGTTCAATCTTAAATCCCCTACTTTTTTTAAAGTGTATATCTAAATCGACGCATGCAACAGTCGATTATTGGGCCCCAGTAGTGTCTCCATTGCCAAGTTCGTCGCCTGTTTCGTCGGCGATGTCCTCCCCGCCTCTCACAAAAGCCTGGGCCACAGGTTCATCACTGAGAGGTGGCCAGCGTTTTATCAACACCCACGCAATGATGGCTCCAACTCCAGCAAAAATCAGAGACACGCCAGCAAAATACAAGGCTCCACTTACTGACGACGTTTCTTGTAAGATTTTAGCTAAAATGGCAAGAACAAACAATGCATGATGGACATGACAGTGATCTGAAATTATACGGTATTACCTCTTTAAAAGCCTGTACGATCATGAGTAATTCAAAATCAATATGTGTGCGTTTACTGTTTAACGCGGTATTATTACAGAATATATACTCTGAGTAGGGGAACCTGAACTTTCAATTTGGATAGGAAGTATAAGCGTTAACAAACCTTTCAAAGACAGACATCTTATGAACGCACAACCATATCTCTTTGCCACCACCTCTAAACACAATGCATGTGATGCACGTGCACAACGCAGTAGCCCCATACACGTGCATCGGGTGTCATTCTTGATTTTGACGGTAGACCATTAATTTTGGCAATCAGCTTGCATCACATAGTTCTGTTGTTAGTGTTTGTTTCTAGTCATTTTTTTTGTGTTTTTGTTGTTTTTTTGGGAGGGGTGGGGGTGGGAGGTTAAATGAAAATCATACACATGCAACATTGATTTGCATCGATATATATCCCAATTTTTTCAATCGTAAATCAAAAATGAAGTTCCCCTACTTTTTTGAAAAGTATATATGACCGGTTGTACATAATAGTCTGGAGCTGACACAGCAGTGATTGAAGTGAGGCGCAAACTACAGAGTTAAACACTTTGTTAGATAATAGCCCGTTACTACACGTATATGTTGTCGGGAGGCTAATTCTAACCCGGATCACCCTGGGGCCTGAACACGCATCACAGAATGAATTCAAAAGTCGGTTTTCAGTTGGTCATAATATTTTGTCACCAGAACGAAATATACTCATGCCAATAATGGTTGTGGTCCCCCTACCCACACATAGGGACACACACGTTGTCACACCAACACCCCTCATCCGCTCGTGGGGAATTTAAAAATTTGAAGGGGATGACAACCATTATTGGCATGAGTAATACCTTACAGTTTGTTTGTGTGTTTGTTGTTTAACTCCACACTCAGCAAATAATCGATTCTGGACCAGACAATCCCGTGATCAACAGCACGAGCATCGATCTACGCAATTACGATACGATGACATGTCTCAACCAAGTCAGCAAGCATGACCACCCGAACCAGTTAGTTGCCTCTTACGACAAGCATGGGTTGCTGAAGACCAATTCTTACCCGGATATTCACGGGTAAAATACCTTACAACACCAATACCTGTACTCCATTTCCTTTACAAAGGCATAACGTTATCGAACATCAGATCCAGCAGTACAACATACCCATGCTAGAACCGCCTACAAGTCCTCCCACCTCTTCAAAGCAGCCCAGTATTGGTAAGGAAAGCTTCAAATTGCTTCTTCCCGTGGTGTGGACTAATGCTAAAGGCATCATTACTTGAGCGAACGCTGTAATTTCAATACAAATCATAAGTCTGTAAGGTGCCACCATCCCAGCGATTGCATTCCGACAACATGCATGACTACATAACATGTATATATATATCACTCAAAGTTTACAAAAGAACGACTTTTAATATTGTCTATATGGCATCCAACCGAAAAGGATTGAAATAACAAGTACACATTGATCAAATGACCAAACTCCTTTAGGACCACAATTTCATGATTATTGGGTTGATTTGTTGGTTTGTTGTTTAATGCCGCACTCAGCAATATTTCAGCTATACGAAGGCGGTCTGTATTAATCGAGGCTGGACCAAACAATCCAATGATTGACACAATCGGCATCGATCAACGCAACTTAGTCCTAGGCCAAATGCTGGAAAAATGCCTTCATTTTAGAATCTCTCAGCAGCTGTTATACAGCAATTAGTATGATACCCCCACCCTCCAAGAAGTCATGTTGATGTGGAACTAGCCACAGGGGCCCGTGCATCGTTAAAGCGTTCGCTCGTCACGCTGAAGACCCGGGTTCGATTCCCACATGGGTACAATGTCTGAAGCCCATTTCTGGTTTCCGGTGGAGGTATTGCTAGAATATTGCTAAACGCGGGGTAAAACTAAACTCACTCACACTCACAAGTATACAGCAACAGACCTTCCACCCCATAAAGTGGAGAACAGGCTGTGAGTAGAATATGAGGCTTCTCAAACTAGGACTATAGTGTGAGTGAGGGTTTAGGTCTCTTTCACTATATGTATTACAGTGTACTGTTATCCCAACCCGCCGTGATGTTGCTGGAATATTGCTAAACGCGGCGTAAAACCACACTCACTCATTCTTATCCCGGCGTTTCAGGTTGATGTGTGAAGAGTGTGGTGTATATGTCTAACGTCCATCATTTTGATGAAACACTTGAACAAAGATATGGTGCGGAGAAACGTATACTCGGTGCCACTTCCAAGATTATTTCAGTCATTGCCTGGAGAGAGTATGGTTTTACGCCGCTTTTAGCAATGTTCCAGCAATATCACGGCGGGGACACCAGAAATAGGCTTCACACATTGTATCCATGTGGGGAATCGAACCGGGTCTTTGGCGTGACGAGCGGAAGCTTTAACCATTAGGTTACCCCACCGTCCTACATTGTATATGATGTACAACGAGATAATACATACCGATGACGGCACCCAGTACCAAGGTAAAAACTCCTACAACCCAAACGTTAACAAACGCCACCTGGTGGACCATGGTACCAAGGCCGATAACCAGCACCAGGATTCCCATCGTTAAGAGAGCTGTCTTTTTAAGGTTTTCCCTCTGGAACTTTCGAATGATCAGCAGAACGATCAGCACAATCAGCTGAGTGCCAAACAGGACGAAGTACAAAATTGTACTCGCCAAGTTTGTGCTGAAACCTCTCTCAGAAGGAATGGTTTGGGCCGACGGTATGAGAATTGACAATCCTGTATTAATGAAAAGAAACCAATCAGTGATGTTTTCATTGGTTATGGAACACCTGTGTTATACATATTACACATGTAATACCTGCTTCATATGATAAATATAAAATATGTTATATTTGGGATTATACTTTTTCAGTAAAGTAAACGTTCTAGTACTTTTGTGGTCGAGTCAATCCGGAAGTCGCACCGAACCTTGTTTCCAGCTTACAAAGCCGAGGCTACCAGTTGTCAAAACTCCATTTTCTCGATGGCTGAGTGGGTTAGATCGCTGACTTTGCCCCGGGGCGATCAGGTGTCTGGCTCTGAGAGTTTGGGTTCAAACCACGGATGGAACACAATATTGTTCCAAGTTATGTTCTAGACATGTGATAACCTTTTCACAAAGAATTGTAAAAAACAGATTGATACCCTCAACATAATCGAGAGGGAAATTCTTTTGAAATGCATTGTTCTTTAAAACTTACCTACAGACGCGGCAACTCTAATCCATATGAGGAAATAGAACGGCGGGTGTTTGAAAACCTTTGGCACATTCTGTTGGGTCTGTGAGTTCTTCTGCAGGAAGCTTCCGGCAAGAAGTCCTATAACAGCCGTTATCTCGAATACTCTCATGACGTTAGACCAGCTCCGTCTACTGCCCAGATATTGAATCAAGTCGAAGATGATGACAATGATGCCGATGATGTTCCCAATAATGAAGCTGATGTAGCTGATGAAGAGAGCGAGAGCTGGGCGTGTGTTGAGGTAGTCGATGGTAGCCACGACCCCAGTGGTCCGAAGAAGACCCAAAGCAATACCTTGCAAATATCTCGTATGAAACGTAGTGAATATAATTATTCAAAGGCACTACAGAAAGCTATGTTTACAACGAACACGTTTATAACGAACTGACGGATATATCGAACTGGGTTTTTTTATATTTTGCCCATGCCACTTGCTGTAAATTTATTAAAAATTCGTATGATGAACAACCTTGTTACGAACTAAAATTAGATCTCCCTTTGAGTTCGTTACAACCATAGTTTATTGTATATTAGTGTGAGTGAGTGAGTTTAGTTTTATGCCGCACTCAGCAATATTCCAGCAATATGGCGGCAGTCTGTAAATAATCGAGTCTGGACCAGCATGAGCATCGATCTACGCAACTGGGATACGATGACATGTGTCAACCAAGTCAGCATGCCTGACCACCCGGTTGTCTCACAGTCCCTGAACCACATTATTTTCCTTACTACCTAGGCGTCTCTGCAATGCTAAAGCCCTAAATGAAGCAAGTCTAGATTTCCCCAGGCTCTCACAACTCACTGGGGCTCCTGGTTTATTTGTTAATATCAATATTGACCCGTGAAGATCCGGGTTAAAAATGATCTCCAGTAACCCATGCTTGTAAGAGGCGACTAACGGGATTGGGTGGTCAGGCTCGCTGACTTAGTTGACACATGTCATCGTATCCCAGTTGCGTGGATCGATGCTTATATATATTCAGGGACTAAGCGTTAGCGTAACTGAACATCAATAACATCTGTTTTTCCTGTTACATGTTTGTGTGTAAGGTTCGAGCTTTACACATCTCTGAAAGTCCATGCAATATACATATGTAACTGTTGTACTGCCCACAACGATTTATCGGGAACATGTGTTGCCACCACAGAATATTTTTTCCCGTTGTTAAGCGCTTTATTATTAAACAATACAGCAAACTACTGACTTGTTGTCATGATCAATAATAATACGTACCTCCCATAAACCCGTACGGTATAGCCAGAATATCAGCAGTGGTTGTCAAAGACGACGAGATACAGGAAAAGATGAGTAGAACACTTCCGCCGAGAGCGACCTTCCGGAAGCCGTATCTGATCATAAGTGGCGCACAGGCGGCAGCTGAAATACATCCCTGATGTGTGATATCTACCAAAGACTGGTTAAAGTAAAACTACTATTCATTACAATAGAAGCGACAAAACCCTTTCCACATCCATAAGAAATCTCTGCTAAAAGCAGAGTCGATTGTACAATTGTGGCTATATCATGAGTATATATTTGTTTTAACAGTATTAAAGCATGAAATTCTGGAATGATCTAGAACTCTGGATTAATAACTATTACCACGAAAAATAAACATCACAAAATATTTGATTTGGTTTGGTACATTGCATAATGATGTATTACTAAATCAAATCATTATCTCTGCCAAAAAAACATATCAATTTATGTCCTATAAAAAAATCAATTCCAAAATACAGTAATTATAAAAAGGTATTAAAAGAGATATTTTCTGTAGAAAAATGTATTTCAAAGAGAAACAATGAAATCGAAAAATTCAATCTTCAATCAAATATTCAGCAAAATTATTATTACATCTCTACAGCAATGTATCTTCACCTTTTCTGTCTTGTTCTACCATATCCCTGTTATTGACTTTGTAACCATGGGAACAAATAAAAACAACAACAAACAAACAGTATTACAGCTGCACGATGTTGTTTGTTTGTTGATGTCAACAATGGAACAACTTGACAACAACTTTTGTGTATGACGGATGTAAAACGGTTTTTTTGTGGCTATTTGGACTAAGGATGTAGTTCCAAACTAGTTAAAACACATTGACCCTCAGTTTAGAACCACACAGAAGCTTATGAAACTTTATGTACATATGAATTTACGGATATAAATGACGTATCACCGTGTAATAGTTAAAACACATTGGTTTAGAACCACACAGAAGCTTATGAAACTTTATGTACGTATGAATTTACGGATATAAATGACGTATCACCGTGTAATGTTATTGGTTTCTGTCAAGCTCCACTAGAAGACCAGTGAAGATCAGGGTTAGAATTGATCTTCAGTAACCCATGCTTGTCGTAAGAGGCGACTAACGAGATCTGGTGGTCAGGCTCGCTGACTTGGTTGAGACGTCATCGTATCCCAGTTGCGTGGATCGATGCTCATGATGTTGATCACTGGATTGTCTGGTCCAAACTCGATTATTTACTGACCGCCATCATATTGCTGGAATATTGCTGGGTGCGGCGTAAAACTAAACTCACTCACTCAATAGACTAGGAACGAAAAATATCTATATTTTGACGGAATAGATATAGTTATCGCAATATACCCGCCAGCGCTGAAAACACCCTGAATGTGTTTTGTACTTTAGCGACCATATCTCCATCTTCATCGAAGGCGCTGCTTACGACGATCTGGACCACGAGCAGGAAGGACATGTAGAAGAACCCTGCTATGATGTTCACTGTGACACTGGCAAATATGGGAACAAGAAACACAATGATCTTCTTGCCCCTGTCCACTGCTCTACTCCTCAATGTAAGCTGAAAAAGAAGAATAGTGCTATATGCATATATGACGTCATGCATACGACGACTAAAAGGAGGATCGGTTGGTCAAGATGTGTCCATATGTCGTCATGCATATGTGAAAGTGTTCGGATCGGATGGTCAGGATTGGATGTTGGATTGTTGTGTACAGGCCGCGATCAGATATCATGCAGGTGCATTGGGTGCAGAGTCATAACCAAACACTTACGTTTTTTATGCAACTTCTGTGATCCCGATAGGGCAGAATTTTCATTTTTTGTGTTTCTCATCGCCCGCCCAAACCCCCAATCCCCATCCCACACCCCACACCCCAATAAAAGAGTTTTTATTTTCATTCCAACACCGCCAACTCGAACCTAAAAGAATTATAACGCCCCGTCATATAAAGATTATATCTTTTTAATCCCCGACGCGGTCACAATTTGTCCACAGAAACGCATAAAACGAGGAATCGCAATAAACATTGCTTATTACAAAGGTTGAGAATCAAGAACATTATTCATATGCCTTTTAAAAATTTGTTCCCCGACCGACCGACTCGTGTTCTGAATTTGGTGGCTACGTGAAACTATATAAGGGGAGTGGTCACTCCTCGAAAAGCCCCTTAGCGTATGCCTCGGCTCGTCACGTGACCAGTGTAGCCAATATGGCGGCAGCGTAGTTTTAAGATTGAGCCCGGTTTATTTTCAACAGCTGATTACATACGCTGAGTGTTGTGACAACTGAAAACCTACATGTAGAAGATAAGTTACCTATTCTGTCACTTCATTTTAAGTCAAATAATTGTTATTAGTGTCAGTATTAGTACAGTAGATTTGTAGTAAAGTTTCAAGTCGGCATGTTGTAGCTCACTGGCTTCAATTCTCAGTACACAGCGAAGAAAGACTAAATTCTATCGCTAAAAACTTCTTTCACATATTCGTTTAATTTTTAGAAGGGAAATATACCTTTAGTTGAAAGGTGTTTGCAAGTAATAGTGATAGTTTTATAACTAAAAAAAAATTTGTTAGGGTGTATTTGAGGTGTGTGAAAAATATGACATATCGCCGATCTGCCATTGAAATACTACAGGGCGTTGTTTGAGTGTTTCTAGTTATTGTTCTAAAACATCTTTCACATACACCTTTAATTTTTATGAGGGGAATATACCATCAGGTGAAAGGTGTTTGCAAGTAATAGTGATAGTTTTATAATTTAAAAAATTTGTTAGGGTGTATTTGAGGTGTGTGAAAAATATGACATATCGCCGATCTGCCATTGAAATACTACAGGGCGTTGTTTGAGTGTTTCTAGTTATTGTTCTAAAACATCTTTCACATACACCTTTAATTTTTATGAGGGGAATATACCATCAGGTGAAAGGTGTTTGCAAGTAATAGTGATAGTTTTATAATTTTAAAAAAATTGTTAGGGTGTATTTGAGGTGTGTGAAAAATATGACATATCGCCGATCTGTTCTGATACGCCATTGATGCTTGTGATGCTTGAGTGTTATAGTTCTAAAACTTCTTTCTTTCTTGTTGATCTTAGTATTTGACAAAACTGGAAAGGTGTTTACAACGCTTTGTGATAGTTCTAAACTTTCTGTTTTTGAGGGGTCTGTGACAGTGTCAGTTAACATTCTGTCAATGCCCATGCCATTCCACACATGCAATAAGATATCTGAATTAGTTACTAATGTAAAAAATGTCTCAAAGTAGATTTTTTAAAAAAAAGGACAGCTGATGTTAACACATGTGTTCTACCGATAGTTTTGCGTTCTTTAACATGTTTGGGGAGGGATGGCCGTGGTGTATCATTTATTCTTTCATTCATTCACATATGTATTTCTTTCTTTTGTTCTTTTTCTTTATTTCTTTCATTCATTCACATATAATTCTTGCTCTTAATTCATTTCATTCATTCATTCATTCATTGTAAAATTCCGACTGATACAATACACTGGCTGAAGTACTGTTAAACGCAGCCGAAGTTGCGCTGGGAACGAACCAAGTCACTGTGTGCGTTGGAGCATGACGAGGCACACGTTAATTAGTACAAATGGTAAAGAAAGCAAGCGAGTGACCTATCCCTGTTGTAGAGTATCCCTGGAGAATTGCCAAAGACGGCGTTAAACTAAACTCAGTCAGCCACTGATAGTTATAAACAAGGACTGACTGACTGAGTTTGGTTTTACGCCGCTTTTAGCAATATTCCAGCAACATCACGGCGAGGGACACCAGATATGGGCTTCACACATTGTACCCATGTGGGGATTCGAACCCGGGTCTTCGGCGTGACGAGCGAACGCTTTAACCACTTGGCTACCCCACCGCCCCTATAAACAAGGATATGTGTGCACAGTACATGTGGGTAGACTTAATCCGACCCTGTGGGTAAACCGTTCGCTACCTCATCCCACCAATACACATTAACAAACGCCACGCTGCCATATCCACAAGCAGAAAGTGCAACTGTTCTTTTCATATTATGCACGTCATTGTATCCAAACTGCGATCGACGTTCACGATGCCAATCACTGGACTGTCAGGTCAGATGATTTACAGGCCGGCTCCATGTAACTTAGACCACAACATAATAATTGTTTCTTGTATTTGTCTTTTGTTTGTAACGCTACGCTTCATTCATTGTGAGAAAGTGAGTGAGTGAGTGAGTGAGTTTAGTTTTACGCCGCTCTTAGCAATATTCCAGCAATATCACGGCGGGGGAGCACCAGAAATTGGCTTCACACATTGTACCCATGTGGGGAATCGACCCCGGGTCTTCAGCGTGACGAGCGAACGCTTTAACCACAAGCTATAGGCTACCTCACCGCCCCCTCGTTCTGAGAGAGAGAGAGAGAGAGAGAGAGAGAGAGAGAGAGAGAGAGAGAGAGAGAGAGAGAGAGAGAGAGAGAGAGAGAGAGAGAGAGAGAGAGAGAGAGAGAGAGAGAGAGAGAGAGACTGAATGTGTCTAAATTGATGTATTTATATCCTGATTAGGATTATCATTTGCAATGTTATATAGAGCTGCTTTGTGAATGATGAAACTGGAGAACTATGCATGGTGCCAAACAAATTTCCCTTGGGATAATGAAGAAACTATCTTATCTTATCTTCTCTGCAGACTGAGAGCATCAGAGAACATCACGCAGAGAACATCACAGGTTTGGAGCAAGTTTATTCTTATATCTGAATGTGTACTACCTAAAAATACCCAAGCAACATATGTTTTAATATCGAATAATTAGTTCGATGTTATATGCCCACGTGGATCAGTTGTTAAAGATATTATATATTTCATATACATTGTAACATGTGCAAGCTTCAATGACTCCATGAGCCTGTAACATCGACCCTTGTTCCATTACGTTGAGTCCACTGTTCGTGTGTTCATTCATCCATCTGTTCATCTTTTTTACCTATTTACATATTGGATTTTGTGTCTCAATATTAATCATATTAAGAATAATGAGTTCTTGTTAATATTTACATTTAGTATTTCTGATTCAATAAAAAAGTAATAGTTCTCCATTTACGAGCAATATATCTAGTTATATTTATTGAGTCTGTTTATTAAACTTTGAGTGAAACGATATTTTAAGATAACTACGAATATATATCTGAATGATCAATATTAATTTGCACAAGCTGTTGCAATACCATTTGTATTTAACCCTTGCAATCATATTTCATTGCAGTGTTCGTGTTTTACATATTCACGGTCTCTTTGCTACGAGATTGCGGACTCGCTCGCAGTATTGTCAGTGGCCATACGGTGTTGAAAGTTTGCAAGAACAGGGTTTGCTGCAAAAGAAGAATCATGAGCGCGACATCAGCAAATAAATATGATTTCTTCGCACAAACGGCAGTGCCGGAAAGGTTCAGTGAAAAATATGAGCAGATCAGGGAATTTGTATCAAAACACAATGCGATCGGAAACAGAGTGGTCCTTGTATCAGTGAGTATCTATCCAATGTTAGTCACGTCCGTATTTGAAAGCAGTAGATCATACGGATTTTGATTGAAGTATCGTAATGTCTATGAATAATGTTCGAAGCTGTTGGATAAATATCGTTTTAAAGACAGGCTTACTTTACACGTTCTGTTTACAGTCACCTATTTAAGCAGAAAATATATCTAACCGTGAATGAACTTTGGATTTGCTCTATAATCTAAAGGGGCATAAATCTGATCTGATTTTGGTGGTATATTCATTGAAGCATTCGTAAAATCACGTTTCCTAAAACTCCTGAAAATTACACTTTTTCCATATATTTATTATGGTGGTCAATGTACATTGTTTCTCATCAACCTTTCTTTCATATTCATTTTACCTTAAACTATACAAATGGGACAGCACATAAAAGATGCAAGTTCCAAATTTTAAGCCCACATTTTTCAAGGACTGTATCATTGTTTTAAAAATATACAAATAGAATAGACTGGTTCCACAGGAGTAAACATACATTGAATACCCAAAGGAAACTATCAAAACTCAATGTGAATAAACACATGTGAATAAATATTCAGTGACTTAAACAATAACATGGCTTGCATCCTGCAATTTTTGTATAAGCCTTTAACCTGGAAGGTATACATAACAAGAGCTGACTTAATGTTGCTGAGAGATGGCATACTCACTCACTCACTCAAACACCCACCCACCCACTCACTCACTCACTCACTCACTCTTCCAAATGACTCGCCCACCATCTTGTTGAATTCATCCCTTGTTCATTTATCCAGTCAGGAGGAACCACAGTACCCCTGGAGAGCAGAACAGTGCGCTTCATCGACAACTTCAGTATCGGCACCCGGGGCTCCGCATCAGCAGAATATCCTTTGCCACTCAGTGTTGGACATTAGGGGGGTCATTGTTGACCCAGACAGGATAGGGGTCTGGGTGTGGATGTACGCCTTGGCACTTTGTAAATGTCTTGTAATATAATTTTACGTTTAATATTAGAGTTACAAGAACATTTGACTTTTGTGGTTAATTTTCACCATGGTGACAAGCTATTTGAACAGCTCAGTAAACAAAAAATATTTCAATAAATTGTGAGAAGATTCATGTACCCACCTCTGTCACTGTAACATGTTTGTTGCTTAGCGTCACACTCAGCAATTTTGAAGTTTTATGGCGGGAACTGTAAATATCATGCCTGGAGCAGATGAGGGGCGGTGGGGTAGCTCAGTGGTTAAAGCGTTGGCTCATCACGCTGAAGACCCGGGTTCGATTCCCCACATGGGTACAATGTGTGAAGCCCATGTCTGGTGTCCCCCGCCGTGATATTGCTGGAATATTGCTAAAGGCGGCGTAAAACTAAACTCACTCACTCATTCACTGGAGCAGATGATCCATCAACATCATGAGCAGCCAATTGGGATTCAATGCTAAGTGTAAGCAAAGTCAGCGAGCCTGACCACCCAATCCCGTTTGTCACCTCTTATGTAAAATGAATCTGCTGAATTTATTTACATGACAGTATGAAATGTAAACCTATATTATGGCAGCAGGTGTTTTGGCGCAGACAGGTTGTGTGAGTTTCCTTGACCTTGTGCCAGATATTTCCTGCAGCATGGGTACGCAGTTATATTTTTGTATCGACTGAGGTCCCTGGAGCCATACTCTCGCCATCTTCAACGCCGCCTGATGGACATGTTGGAGGTCAAAGGAGATTCAGTAACTGGTACTCTCACTTCCATTCAGATCTAACCATTATCCGAAGAAGAGGTTCCCAGATCCACACCTGTAAACTGAGAGACACATAAATCAGTGGCGGATCCAGAGGGGCTTCAGGGGGTTCCAGAACCCCCACCCCACCCCACCCCCATCCTTGAAAATGACTAAAGACTACATTGAAGTTAATGTCTTGCAATGGCCGAGCCAAGGTGGGGTTCAGAGGGTTCCAACCCACTCCCACCCCACCCACCCCCACCCCTCCTTTGAACATTTCTGGATCCGCCTATGTAAATTGGGATATGGGGGTTAAATGGTTGAACTGTGAGCGTAGGGTTGGGGTTAGGTATAGGGCTGTTTGTTTGTTGTTAAACGCCGCAAGCAGCAATGTTCCAGGTATAGGTGGCAGTCTGTAAAAGTTTTCTAAGCATTTGTGATACGATGACATGTGTCAGTGAGCCCGACCATCCAATCCCGTTAGTCACCTCTTACAACAAGCATGGTTGCTGAAGATCAATTCTAACCCAGATCTTCATGGGTACCCACGCCTGTAATGTGAGAGACACATAAAAGGGGATTGTAGGATTAAATGGTTGAACTGCGAGTGTAGGGTGGGGTGGATATAGTCCTACTTTGTACAGTATTTCAGTCTCTGGGGGACTTATGGGTTATGATAGTATCACTGTCATGTATGATGGTCGTAAGGGGTGACGAAATGGATTGGAAGGTTACTTGTCTTGCATGTCTCTCTACCTGTGAGGATCACTGCATATAATATCAGTCATTGGATTGTCTGGTCCAAAAACTGAAGTCTGGATCAGACAAACAAGTTGATACTTGAGTGAGCCCCAATTCATTCAGTTGTTGTCGTTGCAAGATCAAGTCATATCAAAGTCCTACTCTTAACAAACTTTTAGCCTCTCTCTGCTATTCTGCCAATTTGGACCAAGGCATGTATGCGTAAGACATACATAATTGGGCAACATGAGACATCAGACATACCTGTAATATAATTAGGTGTTAGGTAAGATAAACAATATAGTATTGCCTATATTTTGCATATATTAATTTCAAAACTAATTTTGATAATTTTGCTTTGAGTGAGTTAAAAACGAAAGTCACATCTTCACACTTCACCTTGTTCAATTCCCCACATAGTAACAATGTGTGAAGACTGTTTCTGGCATAAAAACAAACTCACTAACTCAGGATTAACAATTCATGACCAACAATTCATGACCATAATGAGATATGTTGTCCCTGACATTGCCAGTGAAGCGTGATCACACATCATCGCTCAAGTCAATCCTACAAGAGTACGAGGACGTGAAGGCGAAGGACCTGTTGCTGAGCATCGACTTCACGTCCCTGGCTGAGTATCTGCACCTCCTCCGAGCCTCGGCACAGATCCTCAACTCCATCCACAACAAGGCCCTGCTCTACCTTGCTGCAGCTGTGTCCGACTTCTACATCCCCAAACACGAAATGGTACAGAACTTCGACATTACATCTCAACTTGATCCGATCTTTTCAAAATTACTTTCTTCCAAAATGGGACTTCTACATACTCAAACATGAAATGATACAGAGTTCTTTGACATTGTATCTTACTAAAAACCCATTTTTCGAAATTATTCTTTCCAAAATGGATATAATTACCTAGTTCTGTGACGATATATCGTAGTATCAATAGCTGTCATACTTTATCTGACGATAAATATATTGGTACTATTTTTTGTATTGTGATACGTATCGTTGGCCTAAAAATTATTAATTTTCACTAGAAATTGATGGTTATGTAAAAATGTACACTGTAACTTGCTATCAAAATATACTTTTTTACAGAAAATAACTAACGATGGTATTGTTCCAAGATATCAGGGGCGGTGGAGTAGCCTAGTGGTTAAAGCGTTGTCTCGTCACGCCGAATACCCGGGTTCGATTCCCCACATGGGCACAATGTGTTAAGCCCATTTCTGGTGTCCCCCGCACGTGATATTGCTGGAATATTGCTAAAAGCGGCGTAAAACTAAACTCAGTCAGTCAGTCCAAGATATCATGATACATATCGTATCATGAATGTTCTGTATCGTCACACCTCTAGAATTACAGTTATGTTTCACTTTATGCCCGAGGACAAGATACAGGATCACAGTGATCCACAATCAACAAAATTGTCTTCTTTGAGTGGCATTTTTGGAGTTGGAGAGTCAGATAAGGACAAACTTTATGGATGAACAACTGCTTTATTCAGGTGATGTGATGTTTCGATACAGATTCTTGCATCGTTGTCAAGCAGGTACCGCATCACCTGAATAAAGAAGTTGTTCATCCATAAAGTTTGTCCTTAACAGAATTGTCATTGTAAACCTGTTCTATACATCTTCCCTTTCCTATATGTTGAATATGTTGTGGGGTGGTGGGGTGGTGGGGTAGCCCAGTGGTTAAAGCTTTTGCTCATCACGCCAAGGACCTGGGTTTGATTCCCCACATGAGTACAATGTGTGAAGCCCATTTCTGGTATCCCCACCATGATATTGCTGGAATATTGCTAAAAGCGACATAAAAACCAACACATGCATGCATGCATGCATGCACGCTCGCACAAATTTGTTGTGACTGGATTTGACTAGATGATGGGAACAGGTGCTATATATATTTATTATGAATATTTATTACACACTAACACAAATCCATATTGTCTATTTTCTTTATGTATCCTTAGTGGCTGTGTGTGAAATAGCCACTGGCCCGCTAGCCCGTGGCTTGTAAAAATCCTGTCGGGCCAGTAAATCTCCAGTCACTGGCCCACTTGGCTGACATTATCTTTTTCTGTACTTTACTAAGAAAGTAATCCCAAATATACTAAGCAGCAAAAGAAAAGTCAGTTTGGAATTTTCCTTCACAGAAACGGATAACTGTAAACTCATTTCATGTTTTGATCGTATATTTTTGGCAACATCTCCAACTTTACCTGAGCAAAGACATTCTTTCCCAAACTCAGAATTGAACCGGGGGAATTGTCTAAAAAATGCAACCTGATCTCGGAGATGCTACAGTGTTCTCCATGTTTTTCATGCAACTCATGCTGCACGTGTTGTTCACAAGGACCAGACCTATAAAATGCACCCCCAAACCTGGTTGAAACATTCACATTACAACGTCAGCAGGATTCCGCGACTCACAACAGCTCAGATCAACCAGGCGCTAGGAAGACTTGAAGCTGGCCACACTGCACAAGCCATTGCCAGTCACTTCCAGGTCAACGTTCGGACCATCTACAGGCTGCAGCATTGTTTCCGGGCCACCAACACCACAAATGATCGCCCCGTACTGGCAGACCATAGGTGACCACAAGACGACAAGACTCCCGTGTTGTGCGACAGCGTGTACAGAATCCCTTCATGCAGGCAGACCAATCAGTACATCAGTACTGATTCAGTACGCCGACGTCTTAACAGCGGGAACCTCCATTGCCGTAGACCTTACCGTGGACCTATCCTCAGCCCTCGTCATCAGCATGAACGTCCACAGTTTGCCCTACAACACCAAAACTGGCAATACAGGCATTGGAGAACTGTTCTGTTCACAACACTTGTGGCCAGCGTTACTCAGACCAATGTGTTATGGAAAGAGACTCATAGGGAGGTGCAAGCATCATGGTATGAGGGTCCAAATATGCCTGAACCAGACACCACGTCATACCACATTTCGCACGTCACCTGAACAACATTTTCCAGCATGATAACACCCGAGCCCATACTGCCAGAGCTACACGGGACTTCCTACAGCAGAACGGTGTCAACATAATGCAGTGGCCAGCCCTTAGTCCTGATTTAAACCCAATTGAACGTCTTTGGGATGAAATTCAGAGGAGACTGAATAATGTCGTACCAAGGCCGAACACAGCCGATTTATTGCGCAAGGCCTTGATCAGAGTATGGTTCCAGGTGCCAATAGCCTTCATCAATCGATTGGTGCACTCCATGCATAGATGCTGCTCTCGTGGTGGTCACACTAGATACTGAAGTCAAGGGTCTGAATGGGCTGCAAATGTTAAAGTAAAGTCTTGAAATTGTGCTGAGTTATTCATTGATGTGTCAATATATTGTACACAAAAAATGTTTTTGATCCGCTTATTATGTCCATTTCTGTAATGATTTGATTACAGCGCCTATCTAATTTTGAATTTGTACTGACGTTTTTTTTGCTGCTGAGTATATAACATACTCTACATTTGACCACTTTCTAAATGGCATTGTGTATTCATAGCATTTTGTAAATTAAAATACAGAATAATCACCTCCTATTTGAAGAGAGAGATTTTTACATTTTCAGCCTGAACATAAGATCCAGTCGTCCACTGACAAACCGCTGCAACTCTCACTACAGCTTGTCCCCAAGATGTTGAAACCTCTCGTCCATGAGTGGGCACCAAACGCCTTTGTTGTATCTTTCAAGGTACGAAAGATCTACTATATGGTCACTAAATTCATTCCAGAGCAAGAAATGGCCTCTACCTGTTTAGGGCTTTGTCTTGATAGTGTTGAAAATATTTATGGCAAATGTTGATGTGGTGCATTGTGTTAGATAATAACTTTCAGAAATGTTAGTATTTGTCATCTCCATTGAAACAATTGGTATATGTTGGAAAATGTATCTAAAATATAGACCATATTTCTTGATGTAAGTTTACATTATACTCCCAATATATGTATGCTACTTTTCAGCTTGAAACAGACAGAAAACTCCTGATTAAAAAGGCACTCTCAGCTTTGGAGAAATACCAGCATCAGGTAAGTGATTAACTTGAATATCCCACTGACACAGTCCAGGTATAGTATGACCAGAAATTATTGAGAATTTTAGAAATATGTTTAATTGGATTTCTAGTATAAACAACCTTGACCAGCTATCAAGTGCTTGGTTTCATTCAAGAGAGACAACTCTGTTAATCCTTTTTCATTAGTTTGTGAAAAGTTATCCCCCTTTGTTTACTTTGCTAGCAGACAACATTTTCAGTGATCCTCAGTATGGATGATTTAGAGAAAAGGTAGTTGATTTTAGAGTATTATAACAAGGACATCAGATCAGCTAAAGTGATTTCAAGTAGAACAGGCATACCTTTGTCCACTGTTTATTGTGTTTTGAAAAATATTGCAAATGGATATGGCATTGAGCACCAGGGAGGCGCAGGTAGGCCCAGAAAATTGACTGTCGGTGACAGGAGGCAGCTTGGTATTGTTGTTTCTAAAAACAAACGAAGGAGTGTAGAAAACTTAAGGCTGGATATGATTGATAGAGGAACTGTGGCCGTCTGTAAGGAGACAATTAGACCTGAGCTGCATGCAATGGGTTGGCAGAAAAGTCGAGGAATTCCATCACCGATCATGAAACCTGAATAAAAGGAGCAAAGGTTGAACTGCTGCTTACAGCATAGAAATTTTATCTGGGACAATGTGATTTTCTCAGATGAAAGTTCTGTGTAGCTGTTTCCTAATACACTGAAATTCTGAACCAAACAAACTGAAAACCCTTTGTATCAGCGCCCAAAGTACAGTCCAAAATTTAACGTGTGGGGTGGCATATCTGTGTTAGGGGCAACGCCCCTCTGTGTATTTGAAGGGAATATGAACAGTGAGCGGTACACAGATATTCTTGAGGGAAATTTACTTCCATCTGCTCACGTGTTCTATGGAAACTTTTTGATTTTCCAGCAGGACAACGACCCAAAACAAAGTTCAACTCACTCACTCAGTCTAGTAGTTGTTGTCCTTCAGTAAGAACCCCCAGATGAATTCTAGACCAATCTGTAAATAATCTTTTAAAGTGTCCCTACTTTGTCCAAAACTTTTAAGGCAGCTGCAAAGCTTTTCTGGCACAAAACAGTAGCAAAGAAGAGGTATATAATTGCTCAGTAATTATTATTGTGTGTGAGTGAGTGAGTTTAGTTTGATGCTGCACTCAGCAATATTCCAGCCATATGGCGGTGGTCTGTAAATAATCGAGTCTGGACCAGACAATCCAGTGATCAACAGCAATGCAGTGATCTGCGGAATTGGGAACCGATGGCATGTGTCCACCATGTCAGCGAGCCTGACCACCTGATCCTGTTAGTCTAATTATTATTATAATTACAATTATCACTTATTCATGACATATTATATACATTGCTGATTATGAAAAAATATATAAACAAAATTATAAGCGTAGAATCGCAAATCAAAAGTGCAATATCTTGTACTTGGGTTTACTTCCCAAGAAACGAAGCAGCCGGGATACCAAACCCAGTCAGAGCGGGTGGGTGTGCACTCAAGTGTAAAGGCTGGTTCATTTGCAGATGCCCTCACGGCTCATTGTGTGTGTATGTTGGGTTTTGTAAATACATGCTCATTTTTTGTGTATAACATTTTGCAATCAACAGACATCATAACATGTCATGTGAACAAGTATCCCACCTGCCTGTCTGTTTAACTACATAATGTGACAGAGACTGTACTCGCATTGATTTATGGTGTATAGCCTGATAGGTGTTAAGTTCAAATTGCATGTGGTCAGTGATCGAAGTTGTGTATTGAATATTGTCATTAGCAGGCAGGCAGGCAGACACATAGGTGTCAATAAAACAGACATTGAGTTTTGTCTGTGACAACGACATATCTATATCACAGTTAGAAATTCTGTCAACACTAAATAATGACATTGCTTTTAAGTATCGAACTGAGAAAGTGACTCGGTAAGAAGAACGTGTGGTGAAATAGACCAATGAAATTGTATAAACAGTTAAATCGGTAATCTACTGTCATAACATATAAAAAGCTCGCGCCTGTGAAATATCAACAAAAACATTATAAAAATAGCTCACACCAAAGCCTTCACCGAGAATTCACTGGACAACCCGCTTCCAAGCTGCACGAACCTATTTCTCTGCGCATGTGCTGAGCGCAGCCCAGTCCAGCTGTTGAAACCACTTTTTTCCCCAAGCTCTGGGGGAAAATTAGTGAATCGTTTGAACTCCGATTTGCGCTGGGTTTTTCATCGCGTTATTTTTCAACATTATAAGTTGAAATTGCATTTTTGATGATTTGTTTCGGTAAGTCCATACCGAAAGGTATCAGAATCTGCAAAGTTGTGTTTTACGTCGCATGTGACCTTTAAGTAAGATGTACCAGATCACAATATGAATAATGGAATTACATTTTCAGGTTGTGATAGCAAACCTTCTTGACACACGGAAGTATGAAGTTGTTCTTGTTACCAAGGAAACAGAAAAGCCAATCTTACTTTCCAAAGAAGATTCTGACAAGGGACTGGAGATCGAGGAAGAAATTGTGAAGCAACTAATTGCTCGACATAAACATTTTATTGAAAGCTGATGAAATGTGATAATTTTAAAGATGAACACGGTGAAGGGAGCACATGACCGATAGCTAGCTTATCTTGAGACTTTTTCATGGTAGTATACTCAGGATTATACCCAGCCAGAGCTCCAGATTCAGAACCATGTGTACAGTGGAAAGGCTGGAGCATCCTCATTCACAGATGCATCAATTATTGACCAATCAGCACTCCACACTTGGTAGCTGACCACTACTCTTGGTGGATTAGAAGACATGTTATGAATAGATTCTTATGTCAAGTCAGCTTAGTATCTGCATAGTAATTCCTGGTTGACCAGTTTTGGTTTTCCTTGATCCCAGGAACTTTCAATGTGTCTTAAGGATGCTTGCCTGTCTGTACTCGAATATTCCACTTTTTTCTAGAATAGATATTTACGAAATCTTTATAATCTGTTTGCATGACTGGTAAAAGCAGAGGGGTTAAAACATATAGGGAAATCAGTCACGTCACCCCTTTGCTAATCTCTCCTTAAAATCAGATCTTAGTTATTCCTCTGATAAACAATGATTACCCATTTCATGTAATGTTGCATGATATTTAGCGATCTTTGACTGACCAATATGATCACTAATAAGATGTCAGCAGATGCAAGCAGATTTCACCTGCTTTGGGTGAGACTTTCTGTCTAGTCACTTCTATCCATGACAAGGCTTGGAAGAAGGTCGACTGAACAAAGAACATTCTGACATGTCTAATAGTGGGCTTAGGCTCAATGTTTGCTCTTAACCCTGAAAATCGGCAGGCTGTAAGGACGCAAAACCATAAAAAGTTGTGGGTCCTGATCAGAATGTGTAGGCCCTATATTTTAATATAGATATAATACGCTTAGTTATTGGGGATGAAAAAGCTGTCGGCCATAAGGACCTGCAGAAAACAAAAGCTGTGGGTGCGAGTGGTTTTCAGTCGGCTTCGGGCCTAAGGACCAATGTTAATGTCAAACACTGTATGGCAGTACTTTTTCAGTCGGCTTCGGGCCTAAGGACCAATGTTAATGTCAAACACTGTATGGCAGTACTTCTGTTGTTTAAACCATTATATTGAGAAATACATGAGGATTTTCAGGGATTCATCCTTACAGACCACCTTACAGCCTTGACATTGTGATGCTACACATTCACATTCATGAACAAATTAAGCAATATGTTGTGAAGAAATGAGAATTCGTTCACTTGTTGATACACATGAATGTATGCCCCGAGTTTTCAAGATTTCATCTTTTAGTCTGACTTTCTGATTTGAGTATTTCATTGACCATAGATTGAAATAGATGGTTGTTGGAAATGTTGAGAGTTGTTACAAGCTGTAGACTGTCAATATTACCTTTTCCAGCATACTATGTATTAGTTGTAAGATGGCAAGAGCTGGCTGAAAATCATAAATTTTGCAGAAAGATTTATCTTCCCAACCAACAAATACAATAGTCTCTCTTGAATTCTTCACTCCCTGGCACTCAAGTCTATCACTGTGATAACCACACTTAAACGTAGGGTACATATGTATTATTCTCAACGTGTATGGCATTTTGTTCAAATGCAAGGCTTTTCAAGAGGGAGGTGTCATTGATTTTGTACATGAGATGCAGGGGGTCACTTACTGTGTACATAATTAATTTTTTTTATGGGGGCATGGAATTCACATTGCACATGCTTCTCTAAAAAATTATCATCACCCCTAGCTATACATTTATAGTGATTTATTTGTGTTTGTTGTTTAACGCCGCACTCAGCAATACTCCAGCTAAATTGCGGAGTTCTGTAAATAATCTTGTCTGGACCAGACAATCCAATGTATCAACCAAGTCAGCAAGCCTGTCCACCCAATCCTGTTAGTCACCTCTTACGACAAGCATGTGTTGCTGAAGACCAATTCTAACCCGGATCTTCAGGGTCACTATAAAAAATATATAGTGAATACCAGTTGCCGATGGTTTGTCATATGCATTCCTTCCATTCTGCACATCTTTGTGAACATGGCTGTTCATGTTTAACATATTTATTTTGGTCATATTTCAGTGGTAGATATGGATCTTGCTAACATATATTTTATGTAATCAACAGAAATTCATTTCTGTTAAACAGTTTGTGATCAATAAATTCAATGACATTGTGGATTGGATGTATATTTACTTGGTGATGTAATGACCGTGTTTTGTTGAACACATGGAACATTATTTGTACCATTCTGAAAGGAAAGATGAAAGTGATGCAGGTCTTAGATGTTCAGTGAAACTTTAAACAATGGGTATGGTGCAATCTGGGGTTCATTAACAGGGTGATGTAATGGATAAAACACGACTCCGAGGTCTTGGTCGGGATTGTAAAACCTGAGAGCAGCAGGGACGGAGCTTGCAAAACCGAGGGCGAACTTCGTCCCTGCTGCTCTCAGGTTTTACAATCCCGACCAAGACCTCGGAGTCGTGTTTTATCCGACTTATGAACTGTCATGAATTTCAACGTGCTGCCCGCAGTACCCGTCTTGTTAGGAACACATGGTTCATACTGACAAACAATCTCTTTCTCCACAGCGATCCTTCTTAGCCTAGTGGATAAAACCGCCAAGCTAAGAGCGAAGGGTTGCGGGTTTGAAACCAGTTATTGCCACTATTTAATGGAAGTTTTCAATAATGAGATATTTTACGATAAGTCATAGCAAAACAAAGTTGTTTCAATCATAAATAATGGTCATTTCAAAACCTGATATCAGGTTAAATAATGACTATTTCAAAACCTAGGTTATGAAATGGTCAAAATTTAACCTGATATGAGGTTTCGAAACGTGTACTTCAAAACCTGTGTTTATAAATGATCGGTGCAAAGTCTCGGCAGAGGTCTATTCGATTGTGGAAGGAACTTACTTTACTGCAGAGAAAATCGGAGATAGGTTTATAATCTTGGATTCGAAACCACAATCAATTTGCTGGCACAAAGGGATGCAACTCTGAGTAACACATTGCAGCATCTTTGACAACCGGAATATTTCTGCCTCGTACTTGGACATAACACATGGGAATGGTAATCCCTGTAAACCAATATTTCAACTGAATTTAACCTAACTTCACACACAATATTTTGTATTTTCACCATGTTAATACTTGTTGGACCTTTGAGTAGTACAGTATGGAGCCACAACAGAGATAACCCTTTCCCATTGTGTTTTTGATCATAAAGATGAGGCTTCTGATGAAACGGGGCGGTGGGGTAGTCTAGTGGTTAAAGCGTTGGCTCGTCACGCCGAAGACCCGGGTTCGAATCCCCACATGGGTACAATGAGTGAAGCCCATTTCTGGTGTCCCCCGCCGTGATATTGCTGGAATATTGCTAAAAGCGGCGTAAAACCAAACTCAGTCAGTCAGTCTGATGAAACGGTTTCTCGTTCAAATCCCATGACAGAAAACCAAATGTAATGGACACTACACTGTGGCTCAACATGAGGTTGAGCAGCCCCAACCAACCTCAAAGTCCCGGTGCCAAAATCGCAGCGTAGGTTATGCTGTCTGTTGACAGGGGATGCTGAAGCTGGGCAAGGAGTTTCAGACTTGCAGGTCATGACATGCCTTTAAGTAAAGTAAATTGGGTTTAACTTTGCTTTGAGTATACTAGTAGTATTCAACTTTTAAATGCCAGTCAAAGACTTACTCAAGCTCTATCACATTTTGTCAGCTTGATGTGGGAGGAAATCCTGAAGCAATGCAAGGCTCACATCTTTCCCGCTTTGGTGAAATTAACAAGCACAGGTATGGTGCTGTTTGGGAAAAAACTGGGATTCGAACCCATAATCTTAAGTTTATTGTATAAGCAAGGGACCTAACTCTTCATAGTGAATGTCAGTGCCTCAGATGGCTGTGCCGCCTGTGTCCTGATTAGTCAAATCAGGAGTGTGAGCGACTGCGTATGATTTTATGCTGCTTTTAGCAATATTCCAGCAATATCACGACGAAGAACACCAGAACCACACCGTAGAAGACCTGCATTACTTACAGTCTGTTTGATTCCATTTGAGACCAATGAATTGCTCACTGACAAATCGCAACAGACAGACCAACTCTGATGATTTGTCTTATAATTTTTGACACCCGATTATAAGTTCTTTAACGAATTATTTTGTTGTCACTTACCGCTATTTTTTACGATGGAGACCACTTGCTGGTAGAACAGCCAGGTTTTCGAGTTGCATGTGTCAAACTGAAATCTTGTTGATTACCTGGCTGTTCTACCAGCAAGTGGTCCCCATCGTAAAACATAGCGGTAAATGACAACAAAATAATTATCCTTTGCTAAACATATTTATTTGGGTGTCCAAAATTAAGAGAAATCATCAGAATCGGTCTGTTGATTTCATATGTTTTGTTGCAATTATTCAACTTTAATGAAATCAAATGGACTATAGACTTTCTGCTCACATAAAGTTGACATGCCTTGATACAACTGAAACCTGTGAGGATTCTCGGTAACAACAGAAGGACCCAGCATCCTGTGCTTGAAAGAGGCAACCAAATGGATGGGTTGGTTAACTGACTTTTTTGATTCTATGAAACACTATCCTGATTCCCTGGATCAATGCTCAAGATATCTATCACATATCCAAACTTGATAATATACAAATCACTGTCTTACAGCTGAAATCCTGCTCGAAGGGGAGTAAAGCAAATTCACTCACTCAGAGGAAATAGTATAATAATCACTGAAAAGCAAATTAAATATATATCCTATGAGGCAACAAGATGTGTGAGCAAATATTGTTTGTTGTTTGACCCAGCGCTTGGCAATATCCCAGCTATATGATGTACATCTGTAAATAATCAAGTCTGGACTAGACAATCAAGTCATCAACATCTGGAGCATCGATTTACGCATTTGGGATATGATGACATCCTGTCAAAAAAGTCAGCGAGCCTGACCACCTGATCCCGTTAGTCAACTTACGACAAATATGGGTTGCTGAAGACCAATTCTTACCTGGATCTTCAGAGGTCATGAGCAGATATTACCTGATACAACTTTGCATAGCACAACGACAACATGGAATAATAAATGAAGCAAATTAAACTACTCTGTAACATGATTTCAATGGAATGATATCATTTATGACATAAGATTCATTTACAAATAAAAGAAAATATTCTAAAAAATGTTCACATTATCACAAGTAATTTCAGTTCTTGAAAGAAAGATGGCACAGTAGCACTTTTTGTGATTGATTGATGGTGTTGTTTAACGCAGCACTCAGCAATATTCCAGCTTAAGGCGGCGGTCTGTAAATAATCGTGTCTGGACCAGACAATCCAGTGATCAAACAGCATGAGCATTGATCTACACAATTGGGATATGATGACACATGTCAAGTAAGTTAGCAAGCCTGACCGTTAGTCGCCTCTTATGACAAGCATGGGTTGCTGAAGACCACTTCTAACCCGTGATGATCCTTTTTTTTTCAGTGAGCGAGTTAATATTTAATGTCACATCGGCAATATCTCAGCCATATCGTTTTTCAGTGAGTTATGATAGGCGAATCGCATGCCCTATACTTCAAATGAAGTATCGATAAAACAAATAGAAAGCCCCATGCATCCAGATCCTTTAAATAAGAAAGTTAAAAACATTCTCTTTAGCTTTGTGGTTCTGTGTTTAAGGTATTTCTGTATGTTTGTGAACAGAACAAAAAAAAGATATTTGTATGACTAAATTTTTGTATAGCAAACATGTTTTTACGCCACTAGTAGCAATATCACGGAAGGGAACACCATAAATAAGCTTCACAAATTCTACCCATGTAGAAAATCGAACCTGGGTCTTTGCCGTGATGAGTGTATGTTTCAAATACAAGGCCACCCCTACCTCGGTCTGAAAGAAGTCCACTTGAAGGTATAAATCAATAGTTCCACAATAAGACACAAGCACATCCCTGTATCCATATATTGCACCATAGTGTGTGTCTATATTGTTTATATATGTTACAGTAAATGTGTCAAATCAGGAAATGTGTAAATGCCAAGCCTTGTCATCCCCAAAGCCAGGGGTCTGTAGAACGTCTTAACTGTGACATCAAGGATATGTTAGTTGCCTGGTTAGCGGAAAATGACACCACTGACTGGCCGAGTGGACTACAATTTGTGCAGTTCCAGGAAAACAGCAGCCATCACTCAGCCATTTACTGAGTGAATCAGGAAATGTACACATTTCCTAAATATTCCAGGAAATTTACACATTTCCTGATTTGGCACATTTACTGTAACATATACACATATTAAATCCCATTGTTGTGAGTTTCCTCTTCCCCTTTGCCCAGACTGTGTCATGAAACATGCTCAGTGTCAATATGAGGTGTACATTAGATGACTTTTCACTGTCCTCGCAAGTGTAATTCCATAAACAATTTAAATTTTATGAAATAAGGCCTGTCAGACTGTCCGAGACGGGCTAGATTTCTGACTGTCTAAATCTACAGCTAGCCAGTCAAATGGTCTGGCAAAAATTTCAGATGACATGTTCCATACATCTGAGTAAACTCACCATATCTTAAAATCTATTTTTTCAAATTGAGCCTTATATTTAGACTTGACAATTACTGTTTGAACATTGAACTATCATATCACAAGCTCAATGCGCTGCCTTGACATATAATATCACTAAAACACCGACACCTATCGCTGCCCAGAGTTCCTAAACTCGAAGCACTGCATGTCGGATTTCTCTGAAAATGACTGTTGTGAATAGACTGTTAGACAGTAAATACATGTCTCAGGTTCATCAACTTATTCACCGTAGCTAAAGATTTAGTTATTTTCCTTAGATTGTTTGGTCTGGTTTAATCCATTTTGGGCTGGTAACATTTTGAAGTTACCAGCCCTGATGTCTGGCTGGGTCTGGGGCTTATTTCATACACTGCAATTTATGACCATTTTAAAGGTAAAATACTCTTAGTGAATTTGTATAATTGCTGACATGTATCAAGAATCCCTCCTCACCTCTTATGTGCAATAAGCCAAAAACAAATTGTTACAATGAATAAATGGATGATGCCCATTCGAATGAGGCATGTTTTGCTTCATTTTTCGTCATCTTCCCCCATTCTTCATGCCAAAATCTTTACAACAGGCAACATGAATCAAGAAAATACACATTCTTTGATGTTGCCTTAGAATATTCTGTTGGCATGCTAGAAAACAAACTGTTGAAGTCACAGCTGCTTGTTACACATCACTGTTAATGTGTCAGAATATTCTGTTGGCATGCTAGAAAACAAACTGTTGATGTCACAGCTGCTTGTTACACATCACTGTTAATGTCAGAATATTCTGTTGGCATACTAGAAAAGAAACTGTTGATGTCACAGCTGCTTGTTACACATCACTGTTAAATTCAGAATATTCTGTTGGCATGCTAGAAAACAAACTGTTGATGTCACAGCTGCTTGTTACACATCACTGTTAATGTCAGAATATTCTGCTGGCATGCCAGAAAACAAACTGTTGAAGTCACAGCTGCTTGTTACACATCACTGTTAATGTCAGAATATTCTGTTGGCATGCCAGAAAACAAACTGTTGAAGTCACAGCTGCTTGTTACACATCACTGTTAATGTCATGACTGTAAGGTTTATTTTCTCACACAGAATTCATCATAAAATACATGAGGTATCCAAACTTGATAATCTGTTCCTTACAAAATCATGTCCGATGGCTTTGTTTCAGGGCCATGCTGATTCCAAATTTATCGGCTGGCAGAAGATCTCTTAATCTTGGAAGATTTTTCTTTGGTATAATAACATAATTTCCACATTTCCCTCCATTTGCCTCCAGGATTTTCAACATCTTCTCTGGTGGATGCTTCTGATAAACAATGACAAAGCTACGTTTATCTCGAGTTTTCTTGTTAGTGCTGTAAATACCATGGCTGTTGGCAGTTATCTTGATCTGCCTTTGATCTCCCAAAGGAAACCCAGGTCCGAAAATGAGTTCCTCCAAAGTTTCGGTTTCGGCATGATCCTCAATCATCTGCTCTACCACTTTTTTCACCCATTTGTTGACTGGGAGTGTCGACGATGGTGTGTCACTATCACCCACAAACCTGTCTCGATCTGACGATGGGGCATCCTTATCTGCTTCCTCCTGATCCACCCCCATGAGTTCCTCCTGGATAGTTTTCTTTGAATATGGGTAACCAAAAGAGTAATTGATGGAGATGATGTCATCTGTATCTGAGTCCTCACTCTCGGCCTTCATCTTATCTGCTTTTTGTTTGATTGACTCATACGTGTGCCAGGACTTGGAATCATCTGTCTCACTGAAGAACTGAAACCAGATACAGCCAGCTATAGTTACAACAACTTTAAAGGGACCATATCTTCATAAATTTTTGAAAAAAAATTCTTATTAGAAATCTTTTATTTTCTCATGGCTTTGGATTTGTGTGGCTAAATCAAATAGTTGATAACATTAACCTACTTCAAGAACAATCTGTTAGCATGTATTATCAAGAATGGCATTCCTGTTTAGACAATAGTTCAAGATATCAATTGTATAGTGAGTGAGTGAGTTTAGTTTTACACCGCTTTTAGCAATATTCCAGCAATATCACGGCGGGAGCCACCAGAAAATGGGCTATCAATTGTATAGATCATATAAAAGCTTAATTCAACCAGAACTATATCTATCTGTATCAACATCTAGAAATATCAGACGCACAATTGTCAAGTTTCGATTGGACTTGTTAGACCCATCAGTAAATAAAGACAGACAAGTTTCAATAGAGAGAAGTTTAAGGATATGTCCATTATGTAACTCGGTGGTAGAGGATGAAATTCACTTCGCATGTGTATGCCCACATTATGCTGATTTAAGAAAACAATATATCCCAAACAATTATCAGTTAAAATATCCTTCAGCTGCCTTTATTTCCATTCTATCCTCCAAAAATGAAAATGTAATAGGTGATATAGTGCTTTATGTAAAACATACCGTTATCCTTAGAAGCAATATCTTATCTGAACTGTAATTTGTTTTGTGAAATTTCTGTAACGTGCTGTATGTATACTTCTATTTATTGTATATGGGCCGGAGGCCTTAAGTACAATAAACATCATTGACTTCAACTTTGACTTTATAAAACTCAATGAATAACCTTGTTACCACCTCCAGTTGCAGTCAAACAACACCTGATTTTCATTATAAGTGACAGATATCAACTATAATGTACTGTTATTAGGGCTGGCTATCAACATATATCATAGAGATATAATCATTAGCAGGGCTCGATTTAGTGCTTTGATACTTTCACTGGTGCATTCCAATATTACAACGTGCACCCTAGTTATTAGTCTAACTTGCTCCAGGTGCAAGTCAATTTTTGAGAAATAAATCAATAAATCTAACATCATAAGTATAATTATGTCAGCTCCTTTTTCTTCTAAAGGTTGAATAGCCATGGCACCGAAACATTGATATTTTAGGGCACCTCTCTCGTATGACAGCTCGTTAACAGGGATCAGCTGTGTGGCTGTGTTGCTATGGTTTCATGGGTACTATGTCACAGAAATATGTTTATGTGCACTGAAACCTCTGATGTTTTAACACACTACATCATCATTTTAAGTGATAGCTGACAGATTTATTGCACATGGTCGTGTGAAAAGCTAAGACTGCTGTCAATTTTGATTATTCAAACCATGAATGAAAATAACCATGGGTAGAAAAAGTAAACAACAGGCAAGTATTATAACATTTTTCCTCAAGTGAAGTAGCTGACAAAGTGGTAAACAAAACTTGGAAACTGAGAAACATGCCAATATGAACAAGAGGGATTCCATTGACATTGCCGATGCGTGTGGCATTTTGAGGCTACAGATGATGACTTGAAATGTAAATTAGAGACAAACATAAATCCAGCCACATGCAATGCTAGAAAATTTAAGACTTACAAATTTAATGGAAAAACAAAACAGGGATTAGTTGCTTTATGATGAGATTGGAAACATCTAAATAATTCAACAGCATATTTCTTTCATTACATATTCCAATAAAAGCAGTGCAATTGGAATTTGGCTGATGCAACTAGGTTTCTATCTTAGCTTGCACTTGGTGCAAGTAGGTTAACATCTCTTAAATCGAGCCCTGATTAAAAAAATATCAGTTGATTATTGTCTTTGAACAAAAAATATATTAAGTCTGAATATTTTTTATATATTTCATGTCACTGATGAGGGAGACACATTTATGCATATATAATTTGGATAGAAACAAATGATTCCTTTTAAATTGAAAAGGAGCCCCTGTGAGTAGTGAAATTAGGACAAATCTAGACTTGCTTCATTTGGAGCTTTAGCATTGCAGAAAGCGATAGGCACAAGGGAAAATAATGGGCAGGGGTGAAAATAACCCATTGCCCAACGTCCAAGTCCAGTGGTTTTTTCTGTCGGGCTAGCAAATTTGTATATCACACTGTACCGGTGTCCACTTGACTTTCCAATGTTAATTATGTTGTTTACTTAAAGAATTAACAAGAAAACTGCCGGTATAGTGGAAAAATTATCAGGGCAAGTTATTTTACACGTGCCAATGTACCGGAGTACACTAGCAATTTGAAAGTTATTTCCGCCCCTGATGGGGTTCAGGGACTGTGAGACAGACTAAGTGTTGACAATTTGTTTCAACTGAGGGAAAAATTAGAAGAGGGAATAATACACAGAATTTCATCGATGGTGTTTCTTAATGCCTCGCTAAGAATTCAAACACTGATTAACAAACATGATGTTAATTTTTCCTGTATTAAAAAAACCCACAAACTCTATATGTATGAAATGTTCCATCAATATTTGTCTAACAAAGTATCTTATACCTTGATCACGGGTTGATGCTGATACAATTTGTAGAGGATTTTGGCGGCTGCTGTTGCAGACGCGTGAAAACTGTTCTTGGCACTCGCCTCTGCCAGCTTTTCACCTTGCAGGAACAATTCACACCTAAACAAAAACACCAACATTACAACTATCATCTTGAGTCAGTGAATCTATCTCTATAGTACAGCTAGTATTAGGTGACTAACTGAATTAGAGTTAAGTTTATTGTGTTAACTACCTTTTTCAGTTCTATAAGAACATTTTGATTCTTTTTCAAACCATGCACTTGGAAATATACTCAGCAAAATTGAATAATTGACACTGATAAATTTCGACATTTTCCTTTTTGTTTAAGGTCAGACCAATTTTATTTCTTGTCTTACTGATTTTTTATCACAACCGTGTGAATGCTTAATTCTTGAAATTGTAAGGTCATGTGCAAACCATGACTTTGTAGCCTATAAAGATGAAAAACATGAAATGCATGTGTTAAAAGAAAATTCTTGAGGTCATTCTGTGCATGTTTGCTTAAACTGAACACACACATTGAATGTGAGCTGAAACAACAAACTAAACTTTTCATTTTAATCTTTGTGTGGAAATGCATCGCTTTTCAAATCAAGAATGTCAATGTCCTATGGGGAGGCTTGATGCTGGTCAGTCTGTGGTCGCTGTTGCAAGAGCCTTTAATTGCTCACGACAAACAATCTATTATCTTAGGATTGGGGTGCATCAAAAAGGAACTGTTTCCGACCGCCAAGGCTGGGAGCGTCACATGTGACGTCACTCCAGGAAGATCAAGCAATACAATTACGTCATCTTCAGAACGGATTTGTTGCTGCAACTTCCACAAGTGGGGAGAAGTTTGGTGGAAGGAAAACTGCACAAACTGTCAGAAATTGCTTGTGTGCCGCTGGACTTTGCATCCGAAGACCTCATAATGGACCAATTTTAACGCCTCTTCATTGCCGCAACTGACAGGTGTGGGCCACAAGACCCATAAGGTTCAGTCAAAGACAGTGGATTTCGGTTGTCTTCAGCAACGAATCTTATTTCACATTGAGATTTGCTGACTGCAGGGCCTAGTGAACCACAGACGAGGTGAACGTCACGCTCAAATCTGCATCCGTGAAGTGGACAGATTTGGTGGCAGCAGCATAATGGTATGAGGTTCGTTTTGCACACAAGTACCTTCACCCCTTGTTGTCGTTCGAGGGAACTTTTAATACTGCCCAGTACAGGGATCACATTTTGCAACCTGTCCTGCTTCCATTTCTGCAGAGACATGGCCCTGGACTGACATTCCAGCAAGACAACGCTAAACCACATACGGCAATTCTTATACAGAATTTTCTACGAAATGCTGGTATTCAAGTTCTGGATTGGGCATTGCGTAACAAAACCTCAATTCTGAATATCAAGTTTTCAGTTTTGCTCAGTATAGATAAAGTGCCTAGTTAACAATCATCTTGTGACCAAAGCCCCACATGCTGAAGTATCAACTGATCTTTCACATTTAACACTCTTTTTTTCTAACTTACCGGCAGATGTCTGATGGAGACCAAAACTTCCGATACAATGATGTGAAGTTCTTTACAGCAGATTCAGAAAGGATGTCATATGCCCTTTTCAAGCGGTTTGGTGACCACTTGTCCTGCTCTATGATAATCATGTTCTGCCAATCTCTTGGAAACTCTCTGTAGTCCGGTACAGGTGGAAACATTATACTATTCCTTGTGCCCCTGATCTTTATTAAATTTGAATTGTAAAATATCTTGTTCCTTTTGCCCTTAAACACCTCACAAACTTCAAACACTCCCTGCACATCTTCCGAAGTCACTCTTTTGAATTCATTGAAGACGGTGTCTGCTGAACAGTTTGAAAGCACAGTAAATGCTTCTGTGTAAGCATTGACTTCAGCCATGTCACAATTGGGCCCTTCAGCTGAGCAGATATAGATGCAGTTGAGGTAAAGATCACACTCAAGAAAGTCTGATCTCTTGAAGATACACGTTAGAAGCAAGTTGGCTCTTTTGAAGGCCATTATTAGCTCATCAACAACGTCACTTTCTTCTGGTATTTTCTTCACCAGGCTGATGAGCCTTTCAAGCTTCTGTAGAGTGTCTGCAGTTGGCATTTTGATATGCTTTTGGGTCAAGACATCATGTGCTGAAAGAAAGTAATTGTACTTATCTTCAGCAGCACCACCAATCACAACCGACATAGGACTTTTCGTGAGAAAATCTACTGCTTTGGCATATGTCCTACGCTTGACTTGCTTGGGTTCTTTCCCAGTAACAGTAGCGATTAGGAGGCCATCAAGGGTGACAGTTCCTTTACAAAATGGGACTCCCTCTGGAACTTCTACTGATTCTTCTTTGTATTCCTGGTGTAGTTGACATGCTGAGGCATCAACCGCATTGTTCAACTCAACAGCAGGGTTATCGTCTCCACTCCTGGAATCGTTTAGATGGTTGATCAGCTTCTTCAACTTGCCACACAGGTCAAGGTTTTCCACTTCCTCAGCACCTTCATCAATGAAGTAAAGGATTGAACACATACTCAGGGGTTTAGGTGAAAAAGCACACGTGAGAGCATGTAGAAAACACTACTGTGAGTAGGCCTGGTGGCAATCAATATGGTGAACTGCATTGTCTTAAAGTTTGATTATTTCAGGAATGAGATATGTCCTAAAGAGATTACTAGCCTCATGTGCTTCTAAACATGGTAAATATATATAATGAACACAAGATATGCACAACACTTGCCAAATGCTCACATACCATGTATATTCTTAATACTCTTGTAACTGCCCTGGTATTACCATGATTACTAAACCCCTACATTCTACATGTTACCCTGTCTACATTAAAACGGTGGGGCTTGCAATGCAGAGAAATAGCATCAAAGTATATATTGTCACAAACAGGGTCTCAGGATCCTTTTATGAAATGCTGAGTGAGTGAGTTCGTTTACTTTTACGCTGCTCTGGCTATATTCCATGAATATCATGGCAGGGACACCAGTGAGTGAGTGAGTGAGTTTATTTAGTTATACGCCTCACTCAGCAACATTGCAAGCTCTATGGTGGCGGTCTGTAAATAATCAAGTCTGGACCAGACAATCCAGTGATTAACAGCATGAGCATCAGTCTACGCATTTGGAATATGATGACAAGCGTCAACCAAGTCAGCGAGCTTGACCACCTGATCCTGTTAGTCGCCTTATACGACAAGCATGGGTTACTGAAGATCAATAATTCTAACCCGGATCTTCACGGGTCGGGGACATCAGAAATCAGCGTGCGAAATAGTTTCGAAAATTTTGACAACCAGACGGGCTAGATGTGCCTGAAAGTTACTAGTGCACAAAATAATTCACTGGCCCGAAATTTCAATGTAGACACAGGTTTCATCATTAAACTGCTAATATGATGAAAATTTTTATCAGGCCATAATCTTGCATGATTCAAAAGTGTATTATAACTTGACAAGTCGGAGAGAGTGATATACATGTATTTACAAAATGAAAACTCACTAGCCAGTCGGGCCAGTGACTGAAGATTTACTGGCCTGACTGGATTTTCACAAGACACGGGCTAGTGGGCCCGTGGCTATTTCGATCACTGACAGAAATGCGCTTCACACATTGCACCAATGGGGGGAATCGAACCTTGGTCTTCAGCTTGAATGAGTGCTTTAATTATTAGGCTACCCCACTGCCCCTACAGAACACAAAGATCCCATCACTGACAACATATACTTTGATGCTATTTTTCTACATTACAAGCCATATGCTTAAACAAAAAGAAAATACATGTTTATTCCTGGAAAACACTTACCATCACTTGGTTTATTTTGACTTTGAGTCTTGCTGCCACTGGCTGTTTTACTTGTGGTGTGTCGACTCTCCAGCCTTCTCATTTTGTTTGAATTGCTGGTCTCCGTCTCCTCGACAGAATCATGCCTACTACTTACTCTTTTTTTCCCTTCATTTCTTGTGTCAGCTGTTCTCTCATTTGGGTTGATTTCTGCAGCCTTTTTTGCATTTGATTTCCCTCTTCCCGACTCAAAATTTTGCTTATGGTACGGTTTACACCTTGAGTCAGTACTTGTATGGTCTGGTTTAGACTTCTCCCTTGAACTCTCCCTATCATATCCTCGTTTCATTTGGCTCGATGTGCTACTATTTTCATGAAACCTGTTGCGTTTTGTCTCCGAGAATGGTCTTCCAGATGACCTTCCATAATTGTTGCTCTCACTCCTTCTGTCCTTCTTTGGATATCTACTACTTTCATTAAAAATATTCCTTCCAGTAGCAATGCGATCAGAACTGTCAGTATTTCTCTCTCTCTGTCTGTCGCTGACTCTCTCACTGCTTCTTGATCTCCTTGGAGAAAGTCTGAGGCCTTCACTTACTCTGTCGCTTTCACTCTCCAGCCTTACATTTGAAGAATAACTTTGACTCCCAATCTGTCTCGCTCTTTCCGTTTCCATTAGAATGGAGGTTCTGATACCATGTACATTGAATATGTCACTTTCAGGTCCCAAAATTAGATTTGAGGGATAACCTTGATTTACTCGGTTTAGCAAATCTCTGACATCATTATTCAATGCCATGCTTTCTGACCCCATCGGGATCAATGTGTTACTTCTATTTTCAAGATTTCTGCTTCTGTCAATTTCCAATCGAGAATATGTAGCCAAACCTCTTGATTCCAGACCAAATCTGTTTCTGTCAGGTTCCTGCATTAGATTTGTGGGATAAATTTGATTTTCACTGTTTATCCTACCTCTGCCATCTTTATTCAATACCATGCTTTGTTCTACCATTGGATACATGTTACTTCTGCTGTCAAGGACCCTGCTTCTGTCAATTTCCAATTCAGAAGCTGGAGCAAAACCTCTTGATTCCAGACCAAATCTGTTTTTGTCAGGTTCCTTCATTCCATTTGTGGGATAAATTTGATTTTCGCTGTTAATCCTACCTCTGCCATCTTTATTCAATACCATGCTTTGTTCTTCCATTGGATACATGTTACTTCTGCTGTCACGGACTCTGCTTCTGTCAATTTCCAATTCAGAAGCTGGAGCAAAACCTCTTGATTCCAGACCAAATCTGTTTCTGTCAGGTTCCTTCATTCTATTTGTGGGATAAATTTGATTTTCGCTGTTAATCCTACCTCTGCCATCTTTATTCAATACCATGCTTTGTTCTTCCGTTGGATACATGTTACTTCTGCTGTCACGGACCCTGCTTCTGTCAATTTCCAATTCAGAAGCTGGAGCAAAACCTCTTGACTCCTGCCCAAATCTGTTTCTGTCAGCTTCCTTCATTCGACTTGTGGGATAAATTTGATTTTCACTGTTAATCCTACCTCTGCCATCTTTATTCAGTACCATGCTTTGTTCTACCATTGGATACATGTTACTTCTGCTGTCAAGGACCCTGCTTCTGTCAATTTCCAATTCAGAAGCTGGAGCAAAACCTCTTGATTCCTGGCCATATCTGCTTCTGTCTGTTTCTTGCCCAGAATGTGAAGCAAAATCTCTAGTTGTCCTGTCAAATCTGTTTTCATGAGTTTTCATTCCAGAATTTCTCATCAAATCTTGTCTTGATTCCAGATCAAATCTGCTGTTGCTTGTGTTCATGCCTGGAGGGCCCATCCAACTCAGCTCCTTAGTCAACCTGTTACTTTCCATCTCCATCCCAAGGCCAGTGGTCCCATTCCTGCCACTACTTGTTCTAGTTCTATCTGTTTCCATGTTACCTCGGCCAATCAAATAATCTTGACCTTGATCTAACCCAAATGACTCATCCCTGAAGGAAGACCTCAATCCATGATTTGCCGTTTCACCCATACTGCCTGGCCTGCCCCGACCAACTGCTGCGGAGGTGTTCATTAAATCAAATCCAGTAGTCTGACCAAACTGTTTCTGATTATCATCATAAACTTTATCTTTAACAAATTCCTCTGTTCTCCTTCCTCCTGAAGCCATGTGAGATACAGGATGCCCCCAAGCATTCAAAGTAGGCGTTGCTGGAAGCTTCTCGAAACCTAACATATATCCCTGTCTATATCTGTCTGTACTGTTAATGTTAGACATCGTCCTGCTAGGATATGAGAACTGTGATGGAGTGTCAACATTACTGCTCTGTACAGCTCTCGCTTGAGGGTTTCTATCTTGCTCTTCTATGTCCCTGCCACTATAGTCAAACTGACACTTTGAGTACATGATGGATCTTGGAGTTCACCTGAGGAGACGAAGGAAAGAATAGGTATAGTGTTTTGTAAATGGAATGTTGCATTTTTCTAATACATGGAGCATCTTTAAGATTATGTGTATGGTGGTGGAGAAAATGAACATCTGAGATTTTAGAAAGACCATCATTAGAAATGTTAAAAATCTGTTAGTAGTGAACAATACCTAGAATATTTATCATAAATTTGTTTATTATTTAATGCCGCACTCAGCAATATTCCAGCTACATGATGCTTGTCGTAGGAGTTGACTAATGCAGGGCTCGATTTAAGAGATGTTAACTTACTTGCACCAGGTGCAACCTAAGATAAAACCTACTTGCACCAGCCAAATTCCAGATGCACTGCTTTTATTGCAATATGTAATGTAAGAAATATGCTACTGAATTATATAGATGTTTTACTCAGAGTTTTCCCACTCAAAAATTGTGTTGCACCTGGTGCAATTTAGACTAGTAACTAGGTTGCATTTTGTAATATTGGGTTGCACCTGTGCAAGTAACAAAGCACTAAATCGAGCCCTGTAATGGGATAGGGTGGTCAGGCTCGCTGACTTGGTTGATGCATGACATGGTAGACTGATGCTCATGATGTCAATCATTGGACTGTCCAGACTTAATGATTCAATTACCGCTGTCATATCATAGCTGGAATATTGCAGAATGTGACACTAAACAACAAACAAATCAAACTAATCAGTCACTTTAAGGAACTAGCATCCTCCTCTTTGGGCAACAAAAATGTTGGAGAAAAGATGTCTAGGTGAGGTGAGGTGAAATTGGGTTTAACGTCGTACTTGAGAATATTTCGCTCATATGACGACACGCATGCGTGTGTATGTGTATGTGCGGCTGCTTGTACTAGCCCAGACTGAAGCTGGTTTTATAGTGCTAGCCCACTGAGATACTATGCCGCAGTGAAGCATGAATACCCCACTCAGGCACATTATACTGACTCCGAGCCGACCAGTCCTTGTTGTACCCATTAATGCCGAGCGCCAGGCAGGGACCAACAAGTACCATATTTTAACGTCTTTTGGTATGACGCGGTCGGGGGATCGAACCCGCGACCTTCCGCTCTCCGGGCGGACGCTCTAACCACTACACCACGGAGGCGGTCAGATATTTAGGATATATAGCACATTACTTGCGTTCACACTTGATCATGGCTAAGTAAAGAGCTTTTTCAAGATTTGAAAAAAGAGAAAATCTTTAGGATACCACAGCAATAAAGGATACCAGTGACATGCACACCATATTACATAGGCAGTTACAAAATTATACATGACTCGAAAGATTCCACAAATTAAACTTACAAATTTAGCAACTCTTACAAGCATGATATATGCACATATGACTACAAAAACAAACCTATGACAAGTGTCAAACTGTGCAGGAACAGTCAGTCTGGGAATATTGTGAACAGTGTCTTAAGTACCATTATGCCATATTCAGTCAATTAACAGTGTTACAAATTATCGGGGGAGGCTAGGTCTTGTATTCTATCAATTTCTAATCAGCAATCCAAACCTCCAATCACTTAGGCTTGCAACAAAGACTTCTTGGTAAATACTACTCATGCTCACAGGCAACAAATCATATTTTTAATATCATAAACCGGTCCTCATCACCTCCACTGCATGGATCACTGGATTGTATGATACAGAACTTTGTTTGTAGACATATTTATCTGAAAAATTCCAATCAAACAGAAACAGTTCAATGATTGTAAATGTGCATTTCCTATCATGACCCTACTCAACTGAATTAATTGTTATGAGTATACCATAATCATATCAAGCTGATAATCCTAAACAGTCATATTTAAAATTGCATACAATGTCATGAAGCCAAAATGATATCGGGGTCCGATTCACAAAACATTTGTAGCGCTATGACAATTGACATTCGTAAGCCAATGATTAACTATGGAGTTTAGACAGGTCGTAACATTGTGAGCGCTTTGTAGCTTGGGACCCAGGTGAAGACATACAGGCACCTTGACTTTGTGAAAAGAGCACTGTTTCTACTGTTATTCTATTTAAAATCAATAAGAATATGACAGTTGTATGTCATGTTCTACAGTTACCTTCAAGTGAAGTTGACTTTAAATGGGATAACTGAGATAAATATCAATATGCTACATATGCAATAAAAACAGATTCATGAATCATACTTTTCACCAACAATATCTTCTGCAAGTTCAAATCACACTAAACTAATAATACAGGTACCTAAAAACACAGGCTTCTTTCATCAGTGAGTCTTTCAGTTAGTTTGTTGTTTGATGAAATGAGGTTCACACCACACCCATGGAGATTTGTATCTTGTATACTTTGGTTGACTCAAGCACATGTTTGATTACCAGCATGTGATAACCCAAATCCAATCGTGCCCAATCTGCTGGAAGACTCATACACACTGAAGTGTATTCATACACACTATAAATTTCTATGACATTCACTGATATTACCTGGAGATTGTTGAGTGACAGGTTACAAAATTAAAAAATATTCAGAAAATACTTTAAGTCACCTCTGAAAAATATTAGCTCCAGAACAACAAAGATAAACAGTGATTACACAATGCCATTTAGAAAGTGGTCAAATGTAACATGTTATATTTGGGATTACACTTTCTCAGTGAAGTACATATTCTAGTACTTTTGTTGGGTTGAGTCCATCCGGGATTCGAACCCACACCCTCAGAATCAGGCACCTACGAGCCAGCACACAAAGTCAGCCGCCTAACCTGTTCAGCCACCGCGACTTAAAAAAAAAAAAGGAAGTCGGACAACTGGTAGTCTAGACTGCGGACTTTGTGTACCCCTCTGATAAGTGCAAACTGGCACAGCTCCCACAACCATAAGCTATGATTACAAAATGCCATTTAGAAAGTGGTCAAATGTAACATGTTATATTTGAAATTACACTTTCTTAGTAAAGTACTGATTCTAGTATTTTTGTTGGGTTGAGTCCATCCGGGATTCGAACCCACAACCTCAGAGTCAGGCACCTACTCGCCAGCACACAAAGTCAGCTGCCTAACCTGTTCAGCCTTCGCGACTTCCCAAAAAATGGAAGTCGGACAACTGGTAGTCTATACTGCACTTTGTGTACTCGTCTGATAAGTGCAAACTGGCACAGCTCCCACAACCGCAAGCTATGATTACACAATGCCATTTAGAAAGTGGTCAAATGTAACATATGTTATATTTGGGATTACACTTTCTTAGTAAAGTACAGATTCTAGTACTTAGACTAAGAAAGTGTAATCCCAAATATAACATATGTTACAAAACATCAACAGGTTTGGATCTGAGCTATTATTTGTCAGCTTGTTCAGAGTGTTAACCTCTTTGGTCAAATGGACAAGACTCCTGACTGAATCAGAAGGTCCATTTTTCAAATCTCAGCATGGGACCAGGAAATTTTATGGCCACTAGATTCATTATAACAACACATGAATAGTCCAATTACCAATGAATACACATTTTGTCTCATCGGCCAACTTTCAAACACCCCTTTACAATCCTTAGGGTTAGTTGTGATGGAGGTCATGGGCCAGCTTCCTCTGGAAAGGTGCATCCTGTGTTTGATAGGCTACCTGCTGAAAATGTACTGAGAATGTGCAATCCCAAATATAACGTGTAAAATTTGACCACTTTCTAAATGGCATTGTGTATTCAACACAGGAATTGTTGAATAGAATTCTAATGTTATTTGCTGAATGATTGGGCATGGAGCTGAAGGGGTCAGATGTGGATCCCAGGTAGTTTCTGTGCCACAAAGGTACCCTACTTGGGTCCCTTGTCAAAATCAAAATCATAATACAGGAACGTACCCTACGTCCATTCTGTATTGTCATTTATCTTGATTAGAATTTTCAAACGGTTGTAATAGATGTACAGACCCGTGCAAAAAGTATTCGGACACTTGACGTAATTTCCATAGACTTACAGAAAGACTTAAGCCCGTATCTCCCTTTAATTTCATTCTAGTAAAATCATATGACCTGATAAGGATGAGTTTTAACATATTTATTTAATTGTATCTGAACAAACTGAAAGACATATCCAACTTCTAAAATTGCCACTCAAAGAATATTTTCGTAATCGTTAAAATTTAGGGGGGATACACTCAAGTTACAGGCGGAAGTCTTACCCAATTCCACTCGCAATCAGTTGAACGGGAACTAGGCTTGCATACGGTTTCGGTTTTGGGTTGCGTAATGTGGACTCATCCACCGTTTAGGGTACCGGTACGTCTCTGCATTTTGACTTTAAATAGGGTACATTTCTGTATAGACATGCACCTGGGTGCCAGTGCTGACAACGACCTCTTCAGCATTAATACACCCGATGACTGATTTCTAAATAAACAGAAATTAGGATGGCTCCTATGAAAGATCTTGTTGCTGTGATCTTTAATGCTGTTGCACCCTTTTGTGGATGAAAATGTGGTGTTTGTGTTCCTCAGATAGATCTATACCAAACAAAATATATGGAACATCAATAATAAAAGCGACATTGACGCCGTTTCCGACTTCATAGGTGTTGTTTAGATTGCCCACTATCAATCCACTATTGTTGTTAGTGTCGTTGTAATGTACTATCCAATATAAATAATAGAGTAAAACCACACACCTTTCGGTGCAACGAGTAACAACTCAGAAAATCAGCGGGTAGAATCTAAACCATAACGCGCGTCTCCATGTTGCAGCATTCTGAATTATCTCCCCGGAAAGCCTCACATTTCAACCCAGAGTTCCATGCGGTCAGCATGCAGACCGGTGAGCTAGGTCCCGTCTCGCATATCGCAATATGCACAAGTTGTTGCACGCAAGGGGAGCCGGGAACCAGCTTCATAGACCGGTACCTAAGCTGGGTCCCGGTTTCCTCTGCGCTCCTCAGCTTGCGCTAAAGCTATCGGCAAAAATTATTGCGATACACACAAAACAAAAAAAGATTTAAAAAACAGAATCAGTGTTAAACTTTCACTGCCGCGACTGGTGCATTGAGGGTGTGTGTTTATGTAGTTTTACGCCGCATTCAGCAATAGCCCAGCTATATGGCCGCTCTTGTGCACTGACACAGAACCATGCACCTTCCGACACCTTCAGATTGTGGTGGTCGATGACCCCCACAGGCGGATCCAGAAATTTTCAAGTTTCATTTTTTTTTTTTTTTTTTTTTTTTTGGGGGGGGGACCCTCTTCCCCCAGTCTGGATCCGCCACTGCCCCCCTCGATCTCGATCATACTTTCTTGAGAATGTTTACAAAAATATTTCAGAGGGTTTGTGATTGAGAAGTTGGTGTCGCTATTATATGTATATCTATTCACCATTCACTCAAACGCAAGTTTAGTTTTACAAACAAATTAATGAAGAAAATAATAATGGTTTGTCTTGTTTCATAACAAAATACATGTATATAGTTACACGGTAATACAAGTCAAATTTTATGGACAAAAATTTTATTATTTGGTTACCACGACGTTTCTTGCCCCTTCTTCAGGTGGATAATGTATATAGTGAACAGTAGTGTATATATACAGAGTCCAGGGAGCAATTAGTAAGATGGATACTACATATAGTCATTCTCAAACTTCGAGCATATTAATGCTATATGCGTGTACCCGTCAAAATGAATAATTTGTTTATGATAACCAATTTATCTCAGGTCATTCTACACTTTACAGTAACAAAATTGGGAAAAATATGTTTATATTTATTTTTAACCCCCCAATTACCTACCGTTACTGTCGCTGCTGTTATCATGGGTTTTGTTACGGTAAGGACAGATTTTGTGACGGCAGTGACATTTTTCTAGTTTAATGTTGTTTGTATCTATATTTTCAATTCAACGATATCAAATGTTGTGGAATCTTATTTAACATAGAATTTTTGCACCAAATGAATAAACTCAATAAGCATATAAGTATGTGTTTTCTTTATACGGCGAGGACAGGGTAGTGTAACGGCTTTGACAAAGAAGAAAGCAGCTGTGACAGGGTCGTTACGGTAGTGACAGTATATGCCTGACTAACAAACTTCATAAAATCAGCTTAAGTTTAAAGTAACCATATAAAACTGGCTATTAACAAAAAGTCATTACCGTTGTTGTGTCACTACCGTAACAATTAATGCCACTGTCCATGCCATAACATTATAATTTTCCTTATTTAATTAAAATTGATTTATCTGTTTATGTCTGGACTTTGTAGTGAAAGTATGTTTGGTAGTAGTGCTTCAAGTAAGCATAATATAATTCATATTTTCATTTTGAATTTTTTGTTAGATATTACTTTATATTTGCAAATCAGAAATGAAAGGAATATTTTGGCTTGTTGGCCCCATTAAAGCAATAAATATAAAATTTCAAAACTCATTAGCCATGTTATATTGTAAAACTAGATATTCTGATATATATGCACATAAAATTATTTCAGCTTTGGATTTTTTTCTTTTCAAAATGACGTTACAAATTTCGTAACGGTGGTGACGCAATTTCATGAAATTTCTTAGAAAAAGGGTAAAATATGATAAATGAAATGTCGTTAAGCTTGTATTGTTATATATAGTCATGTATTGAGGTGCAGGAAGCCAGAGATGTAATTAGTATATAGAAGCACAAATGGAGCAAGTAATATGTACAAACAATAAATGAGATGATCTCGGGCATCAACAGGGATCAAGGGAGTTTTCCTCCCTATAGCGCCAGGTGTATCACCAAGAAATCATAACTCTATCAGCTTTAACCACTCTGCTATGTAAACACATCCTTGTCCTTATTGTAAAAACATACCCAGTCATTGTATTCTTCTCTTTCATCTAATTTATTGTTCATATGAAAATTAATATAAATTCCAGGGGTGCTTCAGTACCCGGCCGTGAAGAGCGGCTTGGGTCCCGGCATCTCAAGCTTTTTTCTCTCTCTTGGGTTGGAAGCTCTTCAGTAGAACAGGAACTGACTGGAATTAGATGTCGTGAGTGAGTTCATATTTAACGTCTCGTTGTGGTTGTTTTGGCCAAATAGGGACATACTAGTGAGAACTGATGGGAAAATCATAATCCTCGAGATGCGAGGGACACGGAAGACACACTGTATCCAGGAAGTCGAGATGTGTGGTTGAGGTAGCTCTGAGGTATGGTGCAGAATCCATGGTGATATCAAAACAGATCTTCTTTTTATTTTATGCCACTCAGATTCCTCAAAGCTTTATTGCTAATATATTGTTTTCTAATTGTTTCTCGAGTAATTGTATAACGAAACACTTGTGTAAAATAAATAATTTAATGACGTTGGAAAACCGTTAAAAGGTAACATTTAATTACCTGTACGTTTTGATGGTTTTTTGTGAACAAGCATACTCGCACGTGTTGATATCAGAGACCATATAATCTATTATATGGTCTATGTTGATATTTATACATCTATGCATGTAGGATTCATATGGATATACCAAAGGGATGGTGTCTAACTATTTTCCAGGTGTGTAGTTTCCTAAGAGGGCCATGGGGAATGATACAACCAAATAGACCAAAGAGGCGGTCTTGGACGCAAGGACCAAACTGCAAGCAAGTCGTGTTCGTGTGTCAGATCTAGAATCAAGATGGCCGACCCAGGGCTGCCACATCCTAAGAAAATGGCCCCGTCATCACACGGTACGCGAAGTCCTACATGACACAAGCAGGGTTACATCTCTGTGCATATCACTTGTCAACTAAATGTTTGAAATGATCCATTGACTAGCATATCCCTGGGTAGAAGTATTGTTCATATGACAAATTAGTTTTGTGTGTTTACTGATCACTATGGAATATTCGTGATCAGGTTTTCTTTAGACCATATCCAATGGTAAATGTCTGCATATGTGTTACCTAAATATAGGCATGTTCTCCAGAGATTGATACAGATATTACAGCTTTTATAGACAGGGCTGCGGGCTTCAGCAACATTGGTGTCGAGTTGCCCGGAGTCCCCGAGACTGCATCCAAAGCAATCTGACACAGAACGAATGTACTCTGAACTACTGTTATAAGGGACCTTTCATAATTTATGTGTGTGTGTGTGTGTGTGTGGTTGTTTGATGATGATGATTTTAAAGGGGGGCCACCCATTTTGTTCTGGGGAGGTAGGGGGGTCATCAAGTTTGTACACGTTTCTAGGGGGTCAGCAATTCTGTACATAATATATATAAATTAGGCTTAAAAATATTGGAAGGGGAGGGGGATTATTGATTTGGTACATGACGTGCAGGGGGCACTTACTTTGTACATAAATATTGGGGGGGTTCATTCACATTGTACATGCTTCTCAATAAATATCATCATCACCCCCACTGGCCATAAATTACGAACGGTCCCTAACGAACTCAATTGCACCACTGATTAGTTCGTTATAACCATATAAATGGTCTTCAGTAACCCATGCTTGTCGCAAGAGGCGACTAATGGATTCAGGTAGGCAGGCTCGATTTGGTTTACAGGTCATCGGTTCCCAAATGCGTAGATCGATGCTCATGATGTTGATCACTGGATCATCTGGGAGGGGGAGGGAGTGAGGGAGGAAATAGGCTTTTGAGATTTTACCCATATGGGGAATCAAACCTAGGTCTTAAGTGCAACGAGCAAATGCTTTAACCACTTGGCTACCCCACTACCCCTCATTGTTTCATTTGTAACTGAATATTCATGGTATAGATCATATTCGTCTTGTAGTGCATTCCTTGTAGTCAATTCATAAATTGATATCTTCTCTTCATGACTACTTATACAAAATACACAATGACATACAGCTTCATCAGATGGTTTAATTTCTGATTATTTGTTTCAATGTTTGCAAACAACAGATTTGTGGAATCTCATTTACGAAAAGGTCCACAAAAGGCAAATTGACAGCAAGATAAGAAGTTCAAATCCACAATGACCCATTGGACCCATCCAAAGGAGAAATCACCTCATTAATCATCCAATGATACATAGAATTTTTTTAAAAGAAAATACATAATACAATGGAGTATAACCAGGATGCTGTTTTAAGCAGAATTCAAGTTAAAATAAATGAGGCAGTCAGCTCAACCGACTGGGAGGCCACATTTTTGTGAAAAAAAGAATTCCATGATTTTTCAAGACAAATATTGCTTTTTCCAGACACAACAATAAATGTCTTTCGGTATTTTGATATGTTTAAACATATATTACAGTCTGTAAAATAAAACAATATCTTATATACGGCCTCCCATCTCCCCTCACAACTGCCGATCAAACATTGAATACATCTTATGGTTTAGAATTTTAGTATCAAGTGTTTAAGCAAGTATTCACATTTATTACCTACGTGGTCGAAAATATCGGGGTTCATATTTTTCAAACGATGCCCAAGGGCAAAAATATTACTTTGTCATGGTGATGTGATATCATGAACAATGCTATGACATCACGTTTCTTCTATGACGTTGCGTTCTACGTGCCGAGTCAGAAAGCCTATGTTTGAAAGTAAATTTGGGTTTATTTTACTCAATTTGACGACTTTGGTAATAAAAAGAGGATATTATATGAGTGCCCATATCATACCATGTTTACGACACTTGTGCCTAAATATTGGTATATCTTTAGCTCTTGCCCAGGAAATACAACATTTAGGCACTCGTGTCGTAAACATAGTATGACATGGCACTCATACAATATCCTCTATATATGCAAACTATCCAGAAA